AAAACTTTTCACCACCAATCGAGCTTTGTACCTCACTAGTTTGTCACCATCATTTTTCAACTTGAACACCCATTTATTCTTCAACGACCTCATCTCTTTCGAAAGTTTAACAAAATCATATGTATTATTTTACTACAATGACTCTATCTCTTCTTTTATTACTTTTTAACCAGTGCTCTCTATTCGAAATAATCTGCACATCTTGGATTTTTTTGCTCCCCCTCACTGGTAATTAAAATAAAATCTAAACATGGATACTCGATAGATGGCCTGTGCTTTCCAACAAATTTTTTAGATTGAGACTCTACAGTACCTGATGTCGAAGGTAGCTCTCTCTACTCAACACTCTCTAATAAAAAAGATTGTTCACCCTGCTTAACACTCTTAAATAAAGAAGATTGCTTTGCTGCTCAAAACGGATTGCATCTAACTCATCACCAATTGTGGCTAGCTTAGTCATATCTTCAAGTTTTGTTTTTTGCTCATTTTCACCACCATCTGTGACTCTTTCTTGTAGAATCTCTATCGGTGTTGAAATATCACACTCAACAATAACCCGTGTAGTCTTCGTATTTTTTTAGGTCTTTTATGATTTTTTTCACAAAAGATTATATCTCTACTTCTGACTGTTTTTCTCTTCACTGGATCTCATACCCTATAGCCAAATTTATCATCATCATATCATGCAAACACATACTATGTGGCTTTACTGTCAAGCTTTGACTTTTACTCTTTTAGCACATGTATGAATGCTTTAGACCTGAAAACTTTCAAGTAAAAACATGAAATATCTTTTCCTATCGACACTTTTTTTGGAATGTCAAAGCCCAAAGGAATTGATAGTGATTTGTTAAACAAATAACAAACTGTATTGGCTACTCACCCTAAAATGGCTTTAGTAATTTCGACATCCTTAACATACATATAACTTTTTTTATAATTGTGCGATTTATTCTTTTAGCTATACCATTATACTATGGTATTCTAGGTTCTATAATCTCATATTTGATCTCATACTTTAAACAATACTTTTCAAAGTTTTTGAATGTATAGTCCCTACCATTATCAGTCCGAATATATTTCAAAGGCAGCCATATCATCCTTTCCACCATGACATGAAATTTTTGAAAATATTGTAATACTTTGCTTTTGTTTTTCAATATATACATGCAAGTCTTACGTAAACCATTATCAATAAAAGTAATAAAATATCTGCTACCACCAAATAACTCAACTTTAATGAGACTACATACGTTAAAATTAAGCGATTTCAATTTATTTTCTTTTCTCTAATAACTTTTAAGAAAAGAAACTCTACGATACTTGTCAAACAAACAATGATCACATAAATTAAGAGGCATACTTTTGATCAAGAGAATGAGAGACCGTCTTGCCAAAGCCATTGTTGGTAGATCAGAGGTTAACCACGTCCATCAACTTTATATGTTTGAACGTCAGTATTATATAAAGTTTAACTTGGATGCAGTGAGTATATAATAATATACAGAAATGAAACACTTAAATGAGCGATGTATGTGGTAAAGTTAAATGTTGTGGCTTGGCCTAAAAGTGTACTAAATGTGAGGTTACCTGACTCAAATGAGGTATTGATAGAACTTATCTACACGAGAGAATCGAGATGAAACTTTGATCAAAACTCACAAGTAAATAAAAAAAAAATTATTGAGATTAGATTTACATATAAATAAAAAATCTCACATCACTAAAAAATTTAAATAAGATATTTTATATATATATGTATAGACTTTTTGATTTACTATCGTGAACTCTGACAAATCTCCCTACAATTTTTTCAACAGACATAATCAAACAAATTCCCAAGTACTAAAAAGTAATTTGGACTCGAGCCTGTACCTCTATCAACCAAGTTTCAAAACTTTTACACTTTGTTCACCAAATCATCCATCTAATTCATAATAATCATTTCGAAATTCTGTTTCATTTGGTTACATATATAAGTAATTATTACATTTTGTTTCTCTGAAATTTGCTAGAAAGCATGTACTTTTCAATGAATTAATGGTCAAAAATTGGCGGAAGAACATGATGCGCAAGCTTGTCTTAACAGTTAAGAACATGGTTTAACTTAATCACTGAATAATTATACTATATATTATATATAAAAAAAAGACAATTCAAACTCAAAACAGTCTAAACAAAATTTCTTCTTTAAATGATATAGAAAAATATAAATACTCTAAGAACCTGATAACAACATTATTATTTATTTATTTGTAGCTTGAGTATTCAATTACTACTTTATATAAGAAAGGTTGGAAATTTTGATCATAGAATCGTCCAAGACCAAAATAAAAGACACTTTCATGAGTGGAAAAGCTAGATCATTAGAAAATTAATGTTTAATTTTCTAGAACAGTTAATCTAATGTTCTCATTGACTTGAATTTATGGAACAAAATTTAATATTTATAATATTTTTATTTCAAATTATTATTTTTTATATAAAAAAATATATAGAAAAACTCGATTTAAAAGATTTTTTTATTTTATAAAGAGAAAAGCAACCGAAATTGATCAGTGTGGGTACAAATTTCCCGTTGCAAATGCCTTTGCACGTTTATAATCACATGTTAAACATTTTGTTTCTCATTTGAATACACATTAAACACGATATGATAAGTCCTTTGCCATATCCATCTACCATCTTTTTTCTAGTTATAATTGCACGATTTCCAATTTAAAAAATGTTCATCATTTAGACATAATTATGTGAAATTTGGAAATTTAAAAATTTCTGTAAAAAATATATAGTATTTTTTTTTCAACAAAAATTATAAAATTAAAGCTGTTTAATTCAAAATTTATATAATGTATCCGAACATTTGGCACCACATTTTTTTTTAAATAAAAATGATGGTTTTGATGTATTTTTTATTTAAAGAAGTGAGTTGAAATTTACTTTAATATCAAAAATAAATAAATCATGGTTTTGATGAAAATATTAAAATTACATCCCCAGTTTGTACAAGGGTGGGGACATGTTGACTTGACACTTTGACACAACTTGGAGCAGACTGCCTTCGGGCCCTCAAAGGACTCAAATTCGCATCTATATCCACGTGCCTTTGCATGAGAAATAGACCTTTTTGCCGATTATTTGGACTACGGATCAAATTTTCTTTAATTTATTTAAATCGACGATGAAATTGATTTGATAAAATCAGAAATAATAATTAAGATAAACCTTGTTTCCCGCTGTAGACTCAATTTCAAACGAAAAACCTCCACCGTCGTATCTAATCACATCCCCTTAGATCACCAAAAGATTTGGTTACATCTAGTTGCAGATCATAAGTACCGCATCAAACTGTGGCCTTTCGATCTGAACTGTTGGATCAGTCCGCCCAATCTGATTAGCAAAATCTTTAATCTCCCACATCTGTCGTGGTTCCATTTGCCACGTGGGTGTAGTTCCACTGTAACTTTTCTTTTTTATTTTTTTTTTAACTTTTACCGTAATTTTCTAGTTCCCTAAAATAAATCAAACGACATGTCGTTTAACAGCGCAATCATCACTGATTTAGTCAAACTTAGGTGTGGACCTTCAAAAATATGAAGTCTAACTCATTTTATTTTTTATTTTTTAAAAATAAATAATCTTTCTTTCAAACTGTTTTGAATTTTCTTGGAAAGTTTTTTGAATTTGAGAAGTTTTACAATTTCCAACAAAAATGTTATAATTTTAAATAAAATATGATGATATAATATAATAATATATAATTTAAAATTTTATAAAAATTATAAATAAATATAATAAAATCATAAAAATATATTTTATATTTTTAATATAAATTATTATATATAATTTTTATATGAAATATAATATAATAAAATATATAAATTATTAATATTTTATGTAATACAAATTCATAAATTATCAAATCCGAACCTAAAAGAAATTGAAGTGAAGATTTTTTAGGCTGGCGGAGAAGTTGATGGATCATGCTCATATGTGTAAAGGGTCGTCATCTTCATTGAATTTAAGGATGTTGCAGCCTTTTTCACTGTTAGAAGCAAAGGCCAGCTTGGACTTCGAAATAGTAGGAGACAGGTCACAGAATTTCGTCCAACTTGCTTTGGAAACCACCCAAGTTGTTGACAAATTTCCAATGAATTTTAAAACTTTTTTAATCAATTAATTCTTTTATTCTCCATGTAATAGCCTCCAAGTCAGAACTCGTGACGAGAGTGAAATTCATTATTTTTTTTAATTTTTTAAAGAATTTGATTAATCGAAGATTTATAAACATTGTTTAAAAATAATTAACATATTATTTAACCAAAATTTTTATATTTAATACATTATTTTCAATAAATTTAATAAAATTTTTTAAATATCACCTTAATCAATACTATCATACATCAACTAACATTTTTAATAAAAAAAATTATTTGAAATCCGACTTTTTCAAATGCGTCAATAGATAATGTTGTTGATTAAAATTGTTAATTATTAGTGCTAGTATCCTATGTTTCGTTATGGCATGCAATTGTTTGTTTATAATATATATATATATATAAATTAATGGGTGAATTTACTAATTTTATTAACAAAATTTATTAATTTTGTTGATAAAAAAAGTCTCCATGAAAAATTTTAAGATATCCAATAATAAAATTTTTTATTTTTTAATCTTTGAAGTATCAATTACAAAAATTTTAAAATGTTCGGTTGAAATTTTTTATTTTTTAATTTTTAAAAAATTTCATTTAAAAAATTTTAAGTATCCAATAAAAAATTTTAGTTTTAATTTTTAATTTTTAAAAATAACCATGAACAATGAATCCGCCAGCTGTAATAATTAAAAGGTTGCAAATATTATAAGATTATAGTATTTAAGAGTCCGTTAAAAGCACATACCCAAAAGTAGGCCGAGCACATTAATTAAAATAATAAAATGTGAGGTAGAACGGCACCGTTTGCTCTAGCATTTTGCAAATCTACGAGATGCAAATAAATAAGGAATTTGACTGTCTATGCTACTGCGAGAACTGAAATCAAAACAGCCCGTATTTGTTTCCTAGCTGTTGTCTGCCGCATGCCCATGTTGAACTCTCTCCCCTTCCTATAAAATCCAAATCCACCCATTTCTTCTCTCTTCACTTCCTCCCCTCTGCATCGGGTAAAATCACTTTCTTCCCTCTCTTTCTGTTTCCCTTTTGTAATTTCTGATTCTGTTTCTTTTGTTGTTTTTGTTGTTGGTTTTTTAGATAGAGAGAAAAAGAAAGTGCAATGGCGGTCAGTTCCAGTGGAAGAACGACAGAGCTTGGGGTTGTTTCAAGGAAGTGGAAACAGAGAGAAATAAGCCCAGAAAGAAACAAAGTCTGGATTGAACCCAAGCCTCACAAAACCAAGTCTTCCAGTACTGAAAAAAAAGTTGCTGTTGTTTACTATTTGTCTAGAAATGGTCAGTTTGAACACCCTCATTTCATGGAAGTTACTCTCTCTTCTAATGATGGACTTTATCTCAAAGGTAAGACAATTAAACCCCCTAAAGGACTTCGGTTGCTTTCTGGGTTTCGTCTTAAAGTGAAGAAAAGAACATCAAAATTGGAAAAACTTCATTTTTTCTTTTTCAATCCCTGCTTGGTTTCTAAGAAAATTAAAGAGGAGTTCAAAATTTTGAATTTGCTTTTATGTTCCAAAAAATTCCTTCTGCCAAATGGTTATACTCAGCTGACAAAAAGCGAGCTTTCCGTTTTCTCGAAATTTCAAAAGCTTTCATTTTACCTTGTTTTTCCAATCAAAACTTTCTTCCCTTTGTTTGGATGCTGAGAAAAGTTCCGGTTTTTCCTACATTTCTTACATTTTTCATGCATGCAATTTGACTTTAAAATATTATCTTTTATTTTTTCTTCAGATGTAATCAACCGCCTGAACCTCCTTCGAGGCAAAGGCATGGCAAGTTTATACTCTTGGTCCTCCAAAAGGTAACACTCACATTTATTCCCAACCGTTGATCAGATTACCATTTACCTTCACCGTCTGATATTAATATCGCAGTTTTTTTTTTTTTTTTTAAATCAGGAGTTACAAAAACGGCTTCGTTTGGCACGATTTAGCAGAGGACGATTTTATTTACCCATCTCACGGCCATGAATACGTTCTCAAAGGATCGGAGATTCTCGACCACTCGATAAAGCCTCAATCCCTTGAAACAGAGTCGTCTTCTTTTCGATTAACAAAACCGCCAGAGTCTCAAAAATCCGAGAACGATGATGATTTTCCTTCAATCAGACGGTGGAAGAATCAATCTTGGAGTTCTATTGATATCCAAGAGTACAAAGTCTATAAGGCTGAGTCAAACTCCGAGTCAACCGGAAGACTCGCCGCTGATGCGTCGACTCAGACTAATGATATTAAGAGAAGAAGAAAAAAACCGGTGGCTGAGGAAGCGGAAATTGAAGAGCTGCAAAGTCAAAGTCAAGAGTTGGAGCAGAATCAGACTACGGAGCTGAGTAGCGAAGAAATTTGGCCTCCACCAACGGATTCGAGTCCGGAGACATTGGAATCCTTGTTGAAAGCTGATGGACGGCTGAGATTATGCAATGGTGGTAGTAAAGAAGATAACTTGAGTCGGACGGCTGAGAGTTGCCCAAGTGGGAGAATGAAGGCATCCTCTGTATTGATGCAGTTGATATCCTGCGGTTCGATCTCGTTTAAGGACTGCAGGCCCAGCTCGGATAGGGATCAAGGTTTCTCGTTGATTGGGCACTATAAATCGAGGTTACCACGCGGAGCAGGGAATTGTAGCCACGTTGGGAAAGAATCAAGGATTGAAAAGGAAATTGGGAGCTTTTCAAGGGTAAAATTGGAAGATAAAAAGTATTTTAGTGGGAGCTTAATTGAGACCAAGAAAGAGGAAGTTCCTGCCTTGAAGAGATCTTGTTCTTACAATGCTGATAGGTAACTTCTAAAACTAATGCTCAAAATTTCTTTGTTAAGCATTTGAACTATGAATTACTTTTAATTTTACTTTCATTAATGCACAAAATCTAAAATTTAATGAATAATTAACACTTTCCTTAGCAATTTGGAAAATAACATACCATATCATAATTCAGACTTATAATTTTGAATGCGTAGTATGGTTTATTAATTGTATGTCAAATATGGATTCTTATTTGAAATTACTATGTTATTGTTATTTAAGCAAAATAGTTTTAATCTTTGGTTGTTTTTTTGACAAGTTAGCCCAAATGGTTATTAAGCAAACTCTAGATTTTGGCATAAACTAGATACTAAATCTTGATAAGACTGAAGTGAAGAAGCATTGATGATGATACAATGTGTAAATAGCTTTGAAGTTTTAGTTGAAAAATGAACTGTTCTTTACCTGGAAAGCAAAGCAAGTCAGTGGGTTTTTATCTTACCTTCCCTGGACTATTGATTCTATTTCTGGACGAGGCCCTGCTGGCCTGTTTTGGGTCTTGAATGTAAGATTCGTACTGGGTTTTGGCAGAAAGCCAGCTCAAGCTATTCATGTTGTTGCACAGATATAATCAAATTGTTTCATGTACAGGAATGTATGTGTTTGCCTTCAATATCCTATCATCCGTCTGTATATTTAATGACAGATCTTATTAAATGCTGGCCGTCCACATTAATAATCCATATTGGAATCCCATGTGGTCCCAGAATTAAAATCTTGTAGTTGGGGTTTAATGTAATGATATCTGTGAGAAACTTATTCAATAAATAAATGGTCTACTTTAGTGCTAGGATTGAAGGAGGGAACAAGAAAAAAAACCGAATTCTGTTAAGATTTTAAGCTTATTGCTCTCTCAAGATTTGCTTTTACTTGTTTCTCTCTGATTTGATTAATTTGGGAACTTTTTAATCATCAGGAGCTCGCAGTTGCAGTTGGCAGAAAAAGAGATAGATGGAGTGTATGCGACGTGCAACCCAAGGAAGCTGAAAACCATGTCAACGAAGAATGAAGGCAACATAAATGCAGATAGCTGTGGTGAAAGTGGAAGCAATAGTCAAATGGGAAGCAAAAGGCATGATGTCTAGATTATCATAGTTCATTGGAACTTAGCTACGTGAATTGTAGTAGTTTGTAGCTTTGTAACAAAACAGAGACAAGTGAATGATAATGGAGAAACATCATACACAAACTATTTGCGAATGTATTGCAAGCTACGGCAAGGTGAGCCCGCACAATGAGAGGAACAGTAGGGTTGGGAATCTTGTAAAACTCTTTTGTTGAATTGTGTAAATTTGTTCATTTCAGTTTGGAGCTTTCCTTGATTTTTGTGGGAATGGTTGACTGGGTTCATTTATCTTAATTTCGGAGAATTGGCAGTTGGCATTAACTCTAGTAGCTTTAGGCTCTTTTTGACTCAAATTTGGTTGGACTTTGAAACATGGGAAATGGAATTTCATCTCTGGTATTATCATCTGCTTTGGTTTTTGCTCCATTGCTGGAAACTTGTGGTTTTCACGGCCGGCCTGTCACGTGAAACTTGATGAATGTACCCGAGAAAGTTCCAACATTTGCTTTGCCTACTACATACTTAATTTCGTTTCAATATCTGTTGTACGAGTCGATACGTTTTAGTCATACCAAAATATAATATATTTTATAATAATTTTTTATATTAGATTTAATATCGAATAATATTGATTATTTTTATTAATTTTAGCATGCTTCGATGAATTTTAGCGAAATAACATTTTCAACTAATACAAAAATATAAAATATATTTTTTAATTTTTAATTTTTTTTTGTTATTTAATTATTTTTAATCAAATAAAAATAAAATTAATTGGTAAAATAACTTTTAAAAATTAAGTTTCTTTATTTTTATTTTAATTTTTTTATACTTTATTTTTACAAACTAAAGTTTATAAGTATTTTAATTTTTTTTCAAAAAAATAATTATACTCCTTTTATAAAATTTAACAATCATAAAGTTCTAATTAATTTTTTTCATCTCTTTATTTTTGCCTTAATATTTATATAAAAAATACTTATTTAAATATCATAAGATCATATTAAATGTTTAAAAATATCATTAAAAATTTATGACATTATTTTTTATGCTTTTAAACTTATTTATTTGATTTTTTAATATATTACATATTTATTTTATAAATTATTAACAATATTATAATGTACAAATTCATATATGTTTATAAATATATTTGTATTAAATCAAAAAATCTGAAATAATATACTGAAATAATTGGTATCAATATCTATCATATTTTTTTAAAAAAATTAAGATATTATCTTATATGATATTAACACCCTTACCTACTACCATTTGGCATATCGTCTCCAATGAATGATAACAGTGCTTGCAATTCAATATTTGAAGAGAGAGTTGGATGGCGTAATATCTGGTACTGAACTGAGCATCTGTTTAGCAACTTTCCATGTGAATGAACCTAAAAGCTTGCAGCTTTGATGATTGCAATACATATGGCATTATCACACAACATTGGAGGAATGGCTAAAACACTGTTGGCTAACCAGTAAGTAAGTCGGTTGCAATTGTCTATGACTAAAAGGGTAATTTTTGGTCTTCCGCTTCATGACCTAGTAGTCACATAAGCTTTTAAAAAGATATAAAGATTTGATTTTGAATCAAGTCTCTCTTTTTTCTTTTGTAATAAGGTATTGTCCTCCCTTGAAACAAAAAAAAAAAAAAAAGGGCAATTTTTGAATCAATCCATAGAAACTTTCTCCTCTCGGCTTCCCACGTTGGTTTTCAAGACAGTAATATTCATTCGATTTCAAGAGCTTGGTAAAAGACTCGGCCTCATCGTGAAGAGCTTCAGGTCCAGGACCAGGCTAGATCAAAGCCCAAAATCAACACTCAACTCAGTATTATTTTGCCAAAATCTGAATAACCTTAGGTAGCCAATATTAGGGATATTGGTTCGGTTAATTTTGAATTAAATTAATCAAATTATATTATATTATTTTTATTGATTAAATTAATTTTTTTAATTTTAAAAATTATTTGATCAGAATTAATTTAATTTGTTCGATTAATTTTTTCGATTAAGCGAATAATAAAATACATTAAGTTAAATTATATTTTTAATTTTTAATTTTATATTTAAAATAAATTAAATAAAAGCATTCAACAAAAATATTCAAATACCAAAGCATTAAGTTAAAACCTTTAATAACATAAAATAAAATGATAATTTCATATATTTTTAATTATATATATAAATTTTATTATATTTCGTTTAAAATTTAAGTTAATTCAATTAATTTGATTTTTTAATCAAATTAATCAAAAATTAAAATTTTTTAAAATTATTTTTGATAATCAATTGAATTTAATTTAATGATCAACTGATTAATTAAATTAAATTAGATTAATTACTTAATTTAATTAAAATCAAATTATAAACACTCTTTGCTCAAAGAGCCTATAAGGAAGCATGACCATTGGCTTTGTTTCCATACGCAAGGTAACTTTTTACGATGAAATTCCTGCAAAGGAATATGACCAATTGGAGAAGTAAAAATATAAAAACTTTCCTTATTGCAAAGCAATGCTGTGAACTGTGACTGTGTTAGTTTAGAAAAATCAGTGTGCTTGCAAGAAAAAGGCAAACATTATTATCAGCTCATAACCCTAAGCTCCAAAAAAAAAAAAAAGGTCCCATGAATATTATAATATATTAATAATCGTAATAATGTTGTTTGTGGAATGTAGTCTAGTCTCAGCACAACATTAGTATCCGATTCGGATTAAATTTTTGTTTAATGAATAAATTTTTTAATTTAATAAGTAATTTTAAATATATATAATATTGATATAAAAATAATTTTTAATATTTTAATTATTTTAAATAATAATTAAGTATTTTTTTGATTTGTCAGCTCATACAATATCAAATTTTAAAGACAATTAGCTTAATCTAAACTAATTTAATTCGTAAACAAATCTAATGTAGTTAAGTTTAAGCATCAATTTAAGGTTATAATTCAATTCATGAATAGAGATGACAACAGATCGGATCAGAATGAATTTTTACTCGTTTCAAATTCGACCTAACTTTATATCAGTAATAATCAAATTTGATTCGACTTGATTTGATAATTTTTTTATTTTTTAATACTCAAACTCAATCCGACATTGTATAAAATTATATCTGATTTGATCTAATTCAAAATTAATAAAATATTATTTTTTAATATAAATATATAAATATAAAATTAAATAAATAATTAAAAAATAATATTTTTTATATATATTAAGTTAGGACGGGACGAATTTATCTAAATTTTGATTTCAACTCAAAATCTAATGTAAAAAAAAAAATTAATCATAAAAAATTGAATCGAAACTTGTTGGATACGAATTAAATTGTCATTACTATTTATAAATAAATTTAATGTAGTTTAATCTAAGCATCAAATTAAGGTGACAATAACATTGTTTACCCCCATTTGATTTCTTAGAACACCTAACTAATGTCCAAAATTTACCCATTATCCTATATGAATTTCAATTGACAAAGAGTGTAAAATAAACATATATAAGACATAATTGGATGTTTTCGTTTAATTTGCACGTGTAACTAACAACATAACTAAAAAAATTTAAAGAACAAACTAAGTTTGCCAAAACTATTATGCTTGTTGCTATTAGATAAAAGATGATTGGTAGCAAGCAAAAAAACTTCTTTGGATTGATAAAAACATTTTTCTTTTTTTATAAAAAAATCATAACTTAAATAAAATAGAAAATATATTAAATTTTTAATATCAAATTTATTAAATATAATTTTTTTAAATATTACACAAATAACTACATTACGATTCAGGGTTTTTTTTTTTTTTTTTGCGTGTCAAATCACCTTGTAATGTTAAGCATATGCATAATGACCAAATTAACCACAAAAGGCTACGTTCGGCTTCTGACCATCTGTTACTGAATTTCACCCCATTTACCACTTCAGGAACCAAATTAAACCTGATGGCATTTTAGTCATTCTATTTACACATTAGCATACCAAGTCATTTATCATCCCCATATGGAGTCAAGGCATGTAAAAAATTTGTTTATATATCTCTCGATTTTGAGGGAACCTCTCCATAAGCTCAACACAAGAGCCTCTCGTTTCTTCCTACTGAAAATCTAAGCGTGTTTTAGTATTAGTTATAAAGAAAAAAAGATCGTCTCTGCCAAATTCCAATGCCCATGTCTTTTGTTTCTGTTGCCACATTGCCTTAGAACAAACACTTTCCAAGTTGTTTACTTCCCTGTACATTTCTCTTCAGGTAAACATGAAAAACTATATAGATTCTCTTTTATTTGCCATTCCTATTTCATCAAATTTTCTCCTTTTTTCGCATGCCTTCAAAGCCATTAAACTCAAAGCTACTATGTTTCTTTCATGTGTAGTTATTGCATGTTGCTTGTCACTATTCCTTTCTTGATCCTTTTATTTCTCTTTGTCATATGGTTTATGATAAATGTTATGGTTTTATGATTAATGGGTTTTGGTCTTTTTGATGAATTCTGATGTAGTTGTTATAATTCTTGTTTTGTTGAAGTTAGTGGGTTTTGTTTTTGGATTCAATTGGGTGTCTTTTTTGGGCTCATGGGTCCTGTAAGAGGGTTAAAGAAACGAAGGAAGGTAGAGAAGAAACCTGAAGAAAATGCTTCTGGTTCTTCAGAGAAGGAACGGTCTGTTGATTGGTGGGATGACCTTTCCAAGAGGATGAATGGTATGTTTTTCTTTTCTCAACGTTTATTGCCTCACTGTATCAAACTCTTGACTTTTGTTATTTTTTATTATCCCTATGTGTTGTATTGATTTTTGCTTTAGTTGATCATTCATGGCATGGCAGATATTTAAATTTCTGTTAGCAGTTGACAGATTTTCAGTTCATGGGTTGAGTTCAATTTTGGAAGATTTGACTGGCTTTACGATTTACATCATATTGGTGTTATATATGTTGATACATAGAAAATGCATTTGGGAACATATAATAAGGATCCCTAATCTGACTTTCAAGACGTTCTTTCCACCTAACATTCTGGTTTGTTATCTTATTGAATGTGGAAAAGGATAATATAATCTTTTTTTAATATTAAGATATATTAGTAATTGTATTGTGGGCTCTTAGCAAAATCCAAGACAATAAGGTTATTTTGGTTTTTAGACAATGTTGTTGCTTATATATACTCTCTGCTTTACAGGAATTCCGGCCTTAGTTCTATTTGAACACGATAATCATTTGAAGCTCAGAATGCTTAAGTTGTTTTCAAAAAGCTAATGCGGTTGAAAAATGATTCTTATCTACCATTTGAAGTTTTGATTTGATTTGTTGGCCAAACAAAAGTTTGATTTGATTTACTTTGAGCAAGAGTTTAAGTGGAAAGTTAATGGGGTCTCTGCTACTGAGAAGTGGAATTCGAGATAAAGGGGGCTGGTCATTGCAGATAACTTTTTTTTTTGGTTACTTTTTGATGCAAGTCATTGTAGATAACTTTAGTACATACTTGTAAGTCCGGAGTATTAGGCAATGTAGGTGACACAGAAGATAATTTTCTTACTCTTCTTCCTTGTCCTTTCATTGATTTATTCATTTCTAGTTCACAAAGACATATAGAGGATTAGATATAGAGTTGACTCCTAGTTTTTGCTCCAGCTGGAACTTCTGAGACTTGTCAAGCCTTGTTGTGTGACGATAATTAGCATTGGTTTTATATCTGTTCATTGTGATATAATTAATGGAACTCTGCAGATACCACATAGGAAGGGAATATGTATAATCAATTCATGAGGAAAGGATTTGGCACCATATTATTAGGAAAAAATATTTTTCTTGTCTATAATATGAAGATTTAAGTTTGCTACTTAGGAGCATCATCCTTTGATTTTGAAGATTTTTCCTGTGTTGGTTTATGTTAACTGCTGTTGGCTAATAGGTCTTTCAGAATGTTGTTTTTGTTCTACCAGAAACATGCCATTAACAGTTCGAGTAGTGTTTCCTTTTCATGAAAATGTCATCTTTCACATATATATAGTTATTATTTCTCCAGTCCTCATTTGTTGATTGAAATGCTAAGGAGAAGGTAAATCTGGAATCGTAATCTCTTGAACATTAAAAATTACTGATAAAGTCGATCAAATTAGTGACTCATCAGGTTTTTAGGCAGCAGCTATATTCCCTTCATGTTTCTTGATTCATATTCTGCATTGTGGAGTTCAAACCCAAAATGCCATGTAGTTTCTTAGAAACTAAGCAGGGTTTTGACTGCAAAACAAAGGCCTAATATGTTCTAAGAAAAATATGTCACTTCTTGTGAGAAATTGCTAGTGTTAAAACCTTGAAATATCTGTAGAAGGCAGTAAGAGCAAATACTGCTGCTGTGAGTAGATGATTTGGACATGCATACTCCTTTTTTTTGGCCAATGGTATGCATACTCCTTTAGAAGCATATATATTATATTGAATTTAATTAAACTATACTGTTGCTGTTGAATGTATGATAAATTCTTTTGGTTTTAAAAGTAGGAAGATTTGTAATCTCATAAACTCTAGGTCATTTAATTGCTAAGTCAAGGAACAGAATACTGCATTCTTGCGAATGTTATTCCCCTTCTTTCTTATATCTGTTCCCATTGTTTTCTTTGGTTATTTCCTCACTACCGACTTCTATAGGTGGGTTTATCTTGTGTTTAGTTGCTGCAAATCTTGTTGTTCTTGTCTTATCTATATTGAAATTCTATGCACCATCCAAGACCACATTAGAGTTAGTTACTTAGAATATGTTATAAAATCGAATGGTTGATAATCTTATGTTTCAACCAGGATGTTTCATAGGTTGAAAATTGTAGTTTCTCCCACTTTCAAGCTATGTCCAGAAGGATGTCTTTTCATTACATTTATTTTTAGCTATAGCTGACAATTCTGCAGATTATATTTTACTAGCCCTAACCAGTAATTGACGCAAATCAGATTGAACAGAAGCCGTTACATTTCAACTTTAAGTGGAATGTTTGCATAATTAATGTTTCAAAATGCAATGTGTTGTCCTTTGTAATACAATTATTTGTGAATGTGTATAAATCTGACATTAACTTTCATTGGCAAAACCATAAAGGGAGTAATGATTATATTTTGCATTTAATTATATAGGGATCAAAAAGTATTTTTTTCTCCGATAGGGTAATTCTGATAGGTGAAATAATGTTTGCCAAAGTTACTACTTGTGAAATCTCACAGATCATCTGCACCAACACTTATATTTCATATGTATAAAGAATGCTTTCTTCTTATTGGCGCTTTCTATCTGTAGGTCTTCAATCCCCATCTAAAGGTCTCAATAAGTTCAAATCTGTTTTCAAAATTTCCAAAAGAACCTTCAACTATATATGTTCACTTGTGAAGGAAGATATGATGGCTAACCGAGGAAGTTTTACATTTTCCAATGGTAAACCTGTGTCTTTTGAAGATCAAGTAGCTGTAGCTTTGAGAAGATTAAGCTCTGGTGAATCACTAGTGACAGTTGGTGATTCATTTGGGCTGCACCACTCAACTGTCTCACAATTGACCTGGCGCTTTGTGGAGGCAATGGAAGAAAGGGGTCTTCACCACCTGCAATGGCCTTCCACTGAAGCAGAAATGATGGAAATAAAGTCTAAATTTGAAAAGATTCAAGGTCTTCCTAATTGCTGTGGTGTGATTGACACTACTCACATTATGATGTCTTTGCCTTCATCAGACCCTGCAAGTAAAGTGTGGCTTGATCATGAGAAGAATCACAGCATGGTCTTGCAGGCAATTGTGGACCCTGAAATGAGGTTCAGGGACGTAGTCACTGGGTGGTCAGGTAAAATTGAAGACTGGTTGGTGTTTCAGAGTTCAAATTTCTATAAACTGTGTGATAAAGGTGAGAGATTGAATGGAAAAAAATTTGAGCTCTCTGAAGGATCAGAAATAAGGGAATACATAATTGGGGATTTAGGCTATCCTTTATTGCCCTATCTTGTTATACCTTATGGGGGGAAAGAACTACCAGAATTAAGAGTTGAGTTCAATAAAAGGCATTCTGCAACTCGGCTTGTGGCACACAGGGCATTGGCAATGCTCAAGGAAATGTGGAAAATCATCCAAGGGGAGATGTGGAGGCCTGATAAACATAAGTTGCCAAGGATCATCCTGGTTTGCTGCTTGCTTCATAACATTGTTATTGACTTGGAAGATGATGCGCAGGATGAAATGCCTTTGTCTTATGACCATGATTCCGGTTACCACCAACGGATTTGTGGAGATGTTGACAACAAAGGTGTACAACTGAGAGATAAACTTTCTCTCTACTTGTCAGGGAAATTGCCACCTTAATTGTTTTACATTTCTGATTCCTGATTGGTAGTTTCTTCACATACGATAAGTTTAAATAGGATCTTTCGTAGACAATCATTTCATTCAAGCTGATTTTCTTTTGTTTGATTCAAAACTGTAAAAGTTTACATAAGCATTGCATTTTTTATAGGACGCTCCTCAAATTATAAAGTGATGGTTGTCCTGTTTCTCCTCCAGTGTTCCAGAATCTGTAAATCACTCTTATCAGATGGTGGTGGGTAACCGCCCTCTTCTTATGTCGTAATGTAAAGTGTAAAACTCAGAAAGCTGTCAATTGGGCCTAGTCCCTAATTAAGTTGAGTGCTGCCATGCCAGCAGGAACAAGGCTCTTCCAGGACAATAGCAAATCAACCACAACTCGGGTGAAGGTGATGGCCTTAACTCACTCACATGACAGAAGAAACCAAGTTTTCCATAGCAGATTTCTTGATTTATTTACCATTGCCATTCAGCTATTATTTATTCTTTTTTGTTGCTTTTCCTTAAAGGCCTTAAACCAATCAATCTTCCATAAATTATTTAATCCAATTTTAGTTACTGTCTGGTACCCTCAGGACAAGAACTATGAACACCAGAAAAGCAGAAAAACAATTTCACCATTTACGCTTAAAATGAATACTGTAAATAAGTGTCCGGTTTGACTTATTGAATCGAGCTTCTAACTTAGCAACATTAGCATGATCTTAAAAAAGGGCCTTAACAGGCACAGTCTTAACAAAAAGACAAATAAAAAGTTTTCCGATCTCCGGATTTGAACCAGCGACCTAAGGATGATCCGATGGCTTTAATCCCACTACAGTCCTCCGCTCTACTAACTCAGCTAAGGTCGGTATTGCAGGTGTCGATGCAGGAAACTATCTGAATTATTGAAAATCATTTAAGAGTACCTTGTCAGTGACTCCAGCGTATCTAACACTTGCTACGGGGCTTTACCAACAATCCAAACCGCAGGAAGCAGCTTTAATGGTGTATCACTGCCGAATACATGGGGAACAATTTGCATCTGCAAATTAGAATACCAGCACAGTTGCTGAGATAAAAAAAAAAAAAAAAAGGAAGACAACAACTAATCCTCATGGCAAAAAAAGCATGAAATCATGTTGATCGGCAATATTTTCAAGTCACAAAATTGTCATTGCCAGGTTTTACTCTCTGGGTTGTAAGCGTATAATAGATTCCATCTCTTCACATAGGTACTTCTGAACAGCTGTGGGGGAACGAAACTGTGGTCCACTCCCAGACCCAGGTTCATCGTACACTACAACCTCAAAAAATAAGATGACATATATCAAAATTTTGAATCTTCTAACAAACACGCTTCAATGCATGAACTTCCAAACGCACTGATATGGAGACCAAGATTACTCGGCCAGGATGGGCTGCAGTGTTAACACGTGGGCGTTTCTCGATGACCCAACTGCGCGTGTATCTAAAGGAATGCATTTGACATCATAGCTGATGGTTGTATGACTTTCTCAGGTTATTAGGTCATTCAAGCAAGCTCTAGGGAAGGGGAGACAGCATTATTTATTTATTTTTGAGTAGGTCATCCATGACAACTTGGGGAGATTTTTCCAGCACAAACAGCCACCACAAAAATGCAAACGTAACGGCGCTTGCGCCATGGTCTATCAACAAACGTAGAATATAAGAAAATTCCAACTTGTTAATAATTTTTTTCTTTATAATTTTTTCAACCAGGAGAATCAGACAAATTCCCAAGTACTAAAAAGTAGTTTGTACTTGAGCCCGTACCTCTATCAACCAAGTTTCAAAACTTCTACACTTTGTTCACCAAATCATCCATCTAATTCATAATAATCATTTCGAAATTCTGTTTCATCTGGCTACATATATAAGTAATTATTACTTTTTGTTTCTCTGAAATTTGCTGGAAAGCATGTATTTTTCAATGAATTAATGGTCAAAAATTGGAGGAAGAACATGGTGCACAAGCTTCTCTCAACAGTTAAGAACATGGTTTAACTTAATCACTGAATAATTATACTATATATTATAAAAAAAAGACTATTCAAACTCAAAACAGTTGAAACAAAATTTCTTCTTTAAATGATATAGAAAAATATAAATACTCTAAGAACCTTATAACAACATTATTATTTATTTAATTTGTAGTTTGAGTATTCAATTACTACTTTATATAAGAAAGGTTGGAAATTTTGACCATAGAATCGTCCAAGACTAAAATAAAAGACACTTTCATGAGTGGAAAAGCTAGATCATTGGAAAATTAATGTTTAATTTTCTAGAACAGTTAATCTAATTTTCTCACTAACTTGAATTTATGGGACAAAATTCTAGAGAACGAAGCTTCTATAATTTGGTCAAATTTACGTTACATAATATAGTTTGAAACAAAGAAAACTTGGAAAGAAATTTCTATAATAATAATAATAATAATAATTAAACTTAGAAAAATAAAAATCGACGTACCACGTCAAGAAAAGCTTGTAGGCAAAATTATGTACGTTAGATAATGATTTATATATAACAGAATTCCTTTGAATGTTATAAAAGATTCATGACTATGAGGGTCTTTAACTAATCCAGAAGTAGTTGAGTGGAAATTTGTCATCTGTACGGTTAAGTAAACCTGTATTTTTTGAAATATTTTTTATTTCTTTGACTAAATTGCAAATATTAATTAATACTCTATATGGGTTTTCAGCAGAAATTAAGTTCATTTTGACTATTGTTATATATATTTTAATTGCTAAACATAGAAGAACTACATGATTTTTTTAAAAATATTATTCGTAATTGCGTTACTCATTGTCAAACTAGATATATTATTTTATTTTTTAAATAAAAAATATCATAACTAAAAAATATATTTTATAAATAAATATATAAATTAATTGAATTAAATTTTTATTGTGATAAACACGCTATGTATTCCACGAACATCTAGAAGACATATAGCAGGAAATGTCCTGGGAACACAAGTCTTACTTACTACTCTTTGCTACTCAATCGATAAGAACTTTCTTGATTACTGTTAGGGTAATGCTTTCAAAGGACCCACGTTAAAATGAGAGGTAATTGCTAGGAAAGTGAATGATGAGCTGTGGGAGATAATCATAAAGCCACCAAATTCTAGAGGCGAAAGAAAGTGTGACATTAAGAAAGAAATTTAAATTTGATGTATTATTAATATACAAATTTTATATATTATTAATGAATCATATGATTTTATTTTATTAATAAATAAATTTTTATATATTTATTAATAAAATAATATTATTTAATTATTAATAATATATAAAATTTATATACTAATAATTCATTAAATATAAAAATGGAAAGAAAGTCATCTTCGAGATAAAGATGAAGGTCGCTTTGATTTACTAATACTATTACTTGTCTACTTTCTTTCCACGTTTTTCTCGCCGTTTCCATTTGATCTTGTTCCTTGCTACAGTGGGTTTCGGTTTTTTTTCTTAGCAAATTCTTTGCTGTGCTTTTCATATTACAACTCACCTGAGTCTGTTCAGCACGCCACGCGCCATGGATACGTGGGCCAAATAACATCAATCTCGGTGCTGTTTCCTTTGAAATTGCTATGGCATTGCCAAAATATACAAATCGTCATTCCACTTATACACTAAGAAAATAGTTCTAATTACCATAAATTGGTTAGAGAAACACAAATTGAACACAAAAACTATTGACATGAGCACCAAGTAATGGAGAGATTATGCTGTTTGGGGGAAAAAAAACAAAGGAGTGTGATAACACGCGCAAGAGTCGCGGCAGGGGGAAGAAAGTAACACTCAAAACAGTGGAAAGTGTCTAGAATTTGTCAGAGAATTAGGAAGAATCCTGCTGAGCTGCCTTTAGTGACTCTTCCTTAACCTGCTCCGCTACGCAGTGACGCAAACGTGATGATGTGGCGGCTTCAAATTCCATTTCCACCCTTCAACTTACATCATATTTACAACACTACCCATTACTTTTACTTGACCCTCAAGAATCGTTTTGACAAATCTGTCATTTTGACCTTCCTAGTTCCCACTTAGCGCACACACACTGGGCTGCTCCTACCTATAAATATAAATCCATAACTCTTATTCCTGTCATCCAAGTTTCCATTCAGATAGTCCGCAGCCAAAAGAAGAAAACTTAGATTGATTTTCCAGTTTTCAGGGTTTCAAAGCTCAGTCTTTTTTAAACAGATTTTAAAGTATTACAATGAAGAGAGGCAGAGAAGTTAGAGAAATTGAGGCCATGGACATGGCAAATTGCTTGATGTTGCTATCCAAGGTTGGCCAAAGCGACCCATCAAAGCATTACCAGGGTCGTGTCTTCGCATGCAAGACGTGCAACAAAGTATTTTCATCTTTCCAAGCACTTGGAGGACACAGGGCGAGCCACAAGAAGCCAAGGCTAACAGGAGGATATCTTCCGGAGATCCCTGTTTCACCTAAGAAGCCAAAGACCCACCAGTGTTCGATCTGTGGTCTGGAATTTGCCATTGGCCAGGCTCTTGGGGGTCACATGAGGAGACATAGGGCTGCCTCAAATGAAGGGTTGGCGACTCGGGATCTATTGCCAGAGATGAAGAAATCGAGCAGTGCTGAAAGTGCTTTGTGCCTGGATCTGAACCTGGCATCTTGCGGAACTGATTTGGAATTGAAGCTGGGGAAGGTGGCTCCGATGCCTGTTGTTCATTGTTTTATATAGGATCTTATCATTGTTCTGGCTGTAAAAAATAAAAAAAAATAAAAAAAAAACAATTATATATGGTTCATATTTTACCATTTTTCCTGGGGACTTTTAGGCGGGGATTTTTTTTTCTTGACATTTATTCTTATGATGAGCATAGTATAGGTAAAGAGGATTTAATTTCTCCTCCATTAATTTTGTATATTTTCTGGTGCATATACATGAACTCTAATTGTCTTAGCTCTCAAGTTTCATCAATTTATTGCTTTAAATGAATTTGCCAAAATTTCTTCCATGAGAAAACTTGTAAAACGATAACTAAAAATCATTTTGAAAAATTCAAAAAAAAAAAAGAAAGATCGTAGCCATTGCATGTATTATCTGGTTTCTTCTAGGTTGGTGACCTGAGTTGAATCGTAGCTTAAAAATAAGGACATTAATAGCAACAATCGAAGGCCTAGCTATATTCATCGACGAAAATATGATGAGTTGTAACCTTGAAGCTTGCTGATAAACATATGAATCAATGGATGTATGTTAAAAAGGGGGACGACGATGCTAAACTCCTTGGCTGTTACCAACCAATTAGACCCATCCACGTCGTCGATCTCCCGTGAATACTATCACACAAGATTACAAATCTAATGGCTTTTAAAATCTGGAGAACAACTGTCACCATCTCATTGGCACAAGAAAGCTGGTTTTACGTAATTTGAACCAATCGAAACTCGAAACGCGTCAATGTCCCCCACCATATGACCGCCCGTTCAAGATTCTCTTTCCTTGTAGAAATTAACCCAAGAAAAACATAGCGAAACCCGCCCATCGATGCAGCTGATTACAATAAATCGACGGTTAAGATCCATCATACGCTGTACACGTGTACGTTAAAGATGAAAGTAACATGACGTTTGATCAAGTAGTTGTAGCCTACATTTAGATATTCTTTTCACGAGCAAGGATCCGACGCTCGTCACGCACAAAATCAAAATAAACTCTCTTTTTTTCTCCCTCTCCGTCTCCTTGCCGGCAAGTTCATCATAAAATGAACGGCGATCGACCGATGCCACCGGTTTTCCGGCGGTAAATAAACGTAAGTATCGTCAAAAAATAAGGAAAAGAAAAACCTTTGCGTTTGAAATTATTTTTGGGGTTCTGCATCTTCATCAGTTTTATGAAGTTTTTGTTTTTAGCCATTTTTAGCGAAATTTTATGGATGTTAATTTTTTTACTGAAATTAGCAGGGAAGCTTTGAATTTGGATGATGTAAGCAGAGTTCACGTGCTTTGATTGAGAGTCAAAGAAGAAAAAAGAAGGGCTCTGTCTCCAGTAGAAATACGGGGAAACTGGAAAGAAATGGTAGATCTTTTTCAAGTTCCTTTATTATAATAAAATGGTTTTTTTTCTTTTTTAATTATTGAAATGTATATGTTTAACTGACTTGGTTTTGTATTTAACTGTGTTACGTGACAAAGGTCACCAGGTTCGACACTGGAAAGGTTTTATGTTTATTTGGGGAATTAGATTGCTTTTTACTCACCAGGATGTTAGTTGTACAGAAATGAATGTCCCATTTATGAAAATTATGTTGAAATAGGTGAGTCGAGTTATATTTTTGGACTGTCAAAAGTATATATAAATAAAGGAAACTCGTTTCAAGGAGTGTACATTTAGTATTGCCCATTGCTGATAACTAAGCTTGGAAGGGCTTTAAGTCATACTTTCAGGGTGAATGCAACAGATTTGATGTAAAAAAGAGTTTTGTTTTCTCTTTAGAATGCAATAGATATAACTTTTTTGTTACTGTGAGAAAGATCAAAGTTTGTTCTTCCTCATGTTTTGTTGGTTAATGGATCACTGAATTGTTACACGCAAGCTATTTCTGAGTGATTGTTTCTGGCAGTCTTTTCAGATTAAAAGTTTTTGGATGGCTAAGGGTGCAAAATTTATAATCCTTCCAGGATTGGATCCAAGCGGTCGCATAATTGGTTTGTTGATGCTGAACCTCAGCTGTTCCCCAACAAGAAGCAAGTTATACAAGTAACAAACAACAAATCAAGTTCTGGAATATCAAATTCTAATGCTTCCCCTTGGGAAAATGTTTCCAGTTTTCAATTAGTTCCAAGCCAATTTATTGACTGTTTGCTTGTATCTGAATCTGAAAGGTCTGTCAATTTCAGTGAAAGGAACGTATCTCCCATCGAAGTGCATAACATTAGACAAAAAGGCATTGAAGATCATTTTGGTGAAGATGCATCTGTTGGTTTGTCGATATGTCATTCCATTGACAATGCTGAAACATGTTTTAATTATAGTGGAATTAGAAAAGTTAAGGTCAATCAAGTTAAGGACTCTGATAAATGTATGCATTATCCAAAGGAATATAGTTTTAGTAGGGAAAATAACAGTGACATGTCTAAAATTGAGGTCTATAATGGGGAGCATAGCTATGACAAGGAATATGACAGTGTTGGAGTAGTGGATCATACCTATAACGGGGAAACAGCAACTCCTGCCTATGATAAGGGTGATGAAATCCCCTTGTCAATGGGCAACACTTATGGTAAGGAGGATGCTAATATTCTTTCTTTTGGTGGCTTTGATTAAGAACACGAGATTATCCCTGTGGACAGGCCTCATGGTAGCTTCGAACCATCATACCGTCAATCTTCCAATCCAACATCAGAAGCAGCTTCAGAAAAACAGCTGGATGCTTCAACTGCTGTTGCAGTTGCCAGTGCTAGTTAGACTGCTAAATTAAGACCTGAATCTGCATCAAGGACTAAACCAGAGTACAAATCATCAAAGAAAGAAGCTCCAAACAGCTTCCCTTCAAATGTCAGAAGTTTGATATCTACTGGTATGCTTGATGGCGTACCTGTGAAGTACATTTCCGTGTCACAGGAGGTAACTGGATGGTACTAATGTCGTCTATCTCATTAGTTGCAATTGCTTTCTACCTTATGGTTTTATCCCTTTTATGTATTAAGGAGCTTCGTGGAGTTATAAAAGGTTCTGGCTATCTTTGCGGGTGTCAATCATGTAACTTTTATAAGGTATGCCATCCTATAGTTTCTAAATTTGCTTCCAAAACTTCTCAGTTCCTTAGCCATTAATCATATGATTGTGCGTTAGGTTCTGAATGCTTATGAGTTTGAGCGCCATGCTGGTTGCAAAACAAAACATCCCAATAATCACATTTACTTTGAGAATGGCAAGACTATTTATAAGATAGTACAAGAATTAAGGAGCACTCCTGAGAGCTTGTTGTTTGATACAATTCAAACCGTGTTCGGCGCACCAATTAATCAGAAGTCCTTTCGAATTTGGAAAGGTAATTAGATTTGATTAGCTGTAAAGCTGCTTATTTGCTTTCCATGAAAGATCTATTTTTGTTGCCTTAAGGTCAGTTGCCTAACTCATTCTCGTTTAATCTCCCACCTTTTCAGAATCATTCCAAGCAGCAATTCGTGAGCTTCGGCGCATTTATGGGAAAGAAGTAGACATGTAAGATGAATTTTCTCAACAGTTCTTTGTCAGAATGTAAAATGGAACAACAATCTCTTTCGTCAATCATGTGCATAGAAAAATGAGTTAGTTTAAGACAATGTATTGTATGCGTTTGTTCTTTGAGATGAGGTGTTTGATAAAAAATGAATTTTTCACAAACAGAATGACGAAAGAATTTTCACATTTCAGTAAATATATATATAGAAACCAGTTCCATTTCTTTTCCTACATCATCAACAGATGAACTAGCGTTGCAAGCAGTCGGATCTTCGTCTTCCAACATGGAGGAGCAGAGAGAAAGGGGAAAAAACAATGTATGTTCTCCATATGACACCAATTGTTTGCCATGGAGAAAAATTATCCGATTATGAGAAGACTACATTTCACACTCTAAAACAAGATTACAAAAGAATTGACAAGAACAAAATACAAGCACCCATCATCCAGTCGCCACGATTAGTTTTTTCCTTCACCTTTTTGCTCCCTTGTTTGGTGAAAGTTACATCCAATACGCGCCTGTTTAGGTTGAACCACAGCAAGCCGATCTTTGTGCAGCTTGAGCAGCCCCAGCTGCGTCAGGTTGATTGATCTTGATTGTCGAAGGCTGCAACCATAGAAAATTTTTCAAATTATATGAGCCTAATTTTCTTTTCGTGAAGTTTTGTTTTAGACAAGGCAGGCAATTTGAATACCTCAGCCCTTGAGTCAGTATCAGCAAGTCTTTGCTTTATGTCCCTTGCTATCGAAAAGAAAACTTGCTCCACATTTAGATTTGTCTTTGCACTCTGCATAACACAGTTTCTTTCAGTTTACACTACACAGTATCTCCAATTCCACCAGCAGAAACAATCAGCAAGCATTACTTACAGTTTCAAAAAATTTGATTCCATACTCATCAGCGAGTGCTTGTCCCTTCGAAGTTGGCACCACCTTAAACGAGAAAAATGTAGAGCAAGATCAGAAAATAGATGCATTTATCCACAAAATGAAAGGGGAGAGATGGTTTAGAATTAGTTGTTTTTATCATCAATTAGATTAATCGAACTCCATATTCCACTTCCAAAGTCAAAAGATTTTTTTTGGAATTAGTAAGCAAAATTTATCTTAGTTTTCTCAGCGAAAAGGTACAAATCCAACAGCACACTTAGCAGACTTGGATAACATGCAAAGCAAACTAAATGATGATATAATCATAGGCATCATCTGCTACAATCTTATAAGGAGCAGCATACTCTTTTGCTTTCATCCATGTCTGCCTTGTTCCCTACCAATATCTTGTTAACATTATCTGATGCATGCTGTTCAATGTTCTGAATCCAATTCCTAATATCTGCAAGGAAAGAAGCCACGCTATAAGAGACTTAACAAAAAGAACAAGGGAAAGCCTTAATCTTTAACTGATTAATAAAAGGAGACTAACCAATAAGAAAAAAATTGAGAAAAACAAGTTAAAATGTAAGGTTAAACAACAACAACACAGAATCAGCTATGAGGTGAAAGCAAGAGAACAAGGGATTTACTGTTGAAGGATGATTCATCTGTGACATCATAGACCAGCAAGATGCCCATGGCTCCACGATAGTATGCTGTTGAAAGAATGAAGAAAAAGATGCGTTAAGGGAAACCATTTGGATGAGTGCAAAATGTGGTACATACATAAATGTTAGAGAACCAGCCCAAAGAAGATTTAGGTTACCAAATATCAAGTTGATAAGAACTTCATTGTTCTATAGGAAAATTTTACATTTTGAAAGACCTGACAGATATTCCCAGACCACAAAGTAGCATACCACACAATGGAGAAACAGCTCCCAGAAAGTTAGAATCAGACAAAAATGTATACGTTTCCAGGCTGTAACCCTGTAACCTTTTAGCAGCCTCTCTAATGCAAAGTACTGAGAAAATAACAGCTAATTGAAGTGCAGTCCTAAGAAGTTTAAGAATGATTTCAATGATTATCAGCATACAAGGAAAGCTCATAAACAACAGGTCAAGGCAGTCATTGGTTATGGATGGAATTGTTTAAGGGAATTTCTCAGTCATAGGACAATGCATTCCCCATTGTGTATGATCACAATGATTTCCAGTTACAACGTAACTCTGATAACCTGGTTTAGATAGGCTCACAGCCAATGGTTAATAGGCATAAGGCTGGTGCTTTAACTTCTCCTGTAGCATGTCTAGTTTTAGACCTTTGGTTGAACTTGCTTTTAGGCCTCTTAGACAGTTGCTCCACACATTCAGCTACCAGATTTTTGCAGTAGACCACTGTCTTTAAGCCATCCTCAATAACACTCAAAGTTGTTCTTCTCCCCCAAAACACAAAGTTTCTTTTCCATTCATAGTTTATTTAGGTACATGTCTTCCACAAAAAGGACTCCATTTCTTTGTTCTCCCAAATTTGAAAAACCATAGAAGAATATCAGCTGAAGTGGTCTCAGCCTGGAAATCTCCAAGGTAGATTACGGCAATGTCATGATTCATCCGCAATATCATTTTCCTCATGCACAAAACAAGTAACATCTAAATTGAAATGCAAGAACTGACTAAAAAACTCACCAGTTGTGATTGTCCGGAACCGCTCCTGTCCAGCTGTATCCCAAATTTGGAGCTTAATTCGTTTACCATCAAGCTCAATGGTTCTTATCTTAAAATCAATACTGCACATGAAAGAAGCATGTTTGCTAAAGTCAGGAAATTTCATCTAGATAAAAGAAACAAGACAAGGGGGTTCCATCTGAAAAATACGCACCCAATGGTGGTGATAAAACTGGTTGTGAAGGAACCATCTGAGAACCGTAAAAGAAGGCAACTCTTACCGACACCTACATATGTAAACAATAGAAAAATTAAAGTCCTTCTAGCAGTCTTCGAATTCATATCAAAGTTATGAACGCATCAAAATTTCAAAGTAAAAATAATAATAATAATAAAAAAGAAATTTATTTTGGGGCCAATCTAGAAAGCAGAATAATTAAAAATTTATGAAATCATCAAACTATCAACTTCAAATAACCGTAATTTATCAAAATTAAAGTACATAGAGCTAACTGCTACTCCTACCTAATCATATTTAGCAAAATCCATAGACAACTACTTTAAGCAATAAATGCTCCCAAATTTCGCTTCTTTAACATTCTTTGACCCTCAAAACCTAAAAATTAGTCCCAAAGAAACTCATCCAAAATTCCTAGAAACGAAACAGGGAGACATAGAATTCATTATAATGATAACTAAATCCACTTGCATGGCTAATAGTTTCGAGCAAATGTATGGAAATAAACCTGAGCGAGAGGATTAAGATCAGGAAATATCAAAGATCTGTTTGGTTACAAGGAAAACGAGAGATAAAAAGAAAGAGAAAACTGGTTTTAGAGATCAACGTACCGCTGTCGCCGATCAATAGAAGCTTTATGAGGTAATCGTAATCAGCTCTAGCTCTTGCTGGTGGAGCAGCCATTGACGAATTTCACCAAACAAAGAAAACCTCTCGAATCTAAATACAGAAACAAAAAAAAAAAAAAGAAATAATCAGAATCAAAAGCTCACATTTCCACACTCGAATCCACGTAATTAAATTAAAATAATAAACAAAAAAGTACCGGATCGGAGATTGAAGAAGAGATTTTTCAAATAAAGGAGAGGTCTCCAAAAAGTCAAATATTAAAGGCCATGGCAATTATAATTTGAAGTTCTTATCTGTTTGGCTGGTTTATTGTATTTATTTACTTTCTCACTTTTTTTAATTATATTTTAACAAAGAAAAAAAATAAAATTTATCACCTGCAAAATAGAGCTTCTCCGAGGAAGATGGGTTGCTAAAACGCACCGTGTCCGCTTTCTTCTCCTGTCTTTCGTACCCTATTTTCCTAAAATTTTTTTCTGGTGCGCCGATCACTCGCTGCGCACGCTAGCAAATCCACCAGTTGCAACGGAGAGAGAAATGGAGAAAGACTTTCTCTTTCCTAATTTTGATGATTTCCTCTGCTCGCTTTCTCTCTCTCTATCTGCTTAACGGTATAAGGCAGTGAATAAAAAATCTGAGTTTTTTCTAACCAACCAAATAATAACGCGTGGCAAATGCGTTTGCATTCTGGCAGTTTCCACGTGGCTCATTTTATTGACTGCCCGGCTAGTATGGGCCACAGGGGATTGGAGCTAGGGGAGTGAGCTGGCGTCCGAATCCACACGTTGAGTTAACAACTAGCATTTGGGTTTAAAGCACGAGTATAATTCATCGAGCTTCAATTAATATAATATTAAATTTAAACTAAAATTTGATTTAAATTCGATTAAATTTTATTTTTTTAATTTAATTTAAATTTAAATTAAAAAAATTAAATTATTCGAATTCGTTTGATTAAGTTTAATTAATATATAAAAATAAATTTGATTCTTATATTTAATAAAAATTTGATTATTTATATGTGAACGTAAACTCGTGTTTGAAATATTTTATTAATTAAAATAATAAAAATATATTTAAATATAAAAATTTGATTAAGATCACAAATTATTCAAACTAAATATAAAAATATTCAAATTCGATTCGATCAATAAAAATAATTACTTAAATTTAAATTCGACTCGATAATAATAAAATATAATTTAAATTTTATATAAATTAAACTTTAATAATTTATTAATACTAATATATCATTTACAACTCTAATTTAACAAAAAAATCCACCGTTTCATTGCATAACAAAAGAATTTGTACTTAATTAATCATGGAAGAATCTGACGGTCAGGAAATTCAGATGAATCTCCAAATTGGGCTTGTCAAATTTTCTGGATGGTAGTGGGTCCCGCTGGATTAATGGATGTGAAACCAAGTCAAGCTGCCCAAGAACTTTGACCAGTTGGGTTGGGTTACTAAAAAGATATAAAATATGTTGAACAGTTGGACCGGTTCCTTTCCATTTATAAGACCTAATAATTCATGAATAAAATACTTATAATTGACATATTCGCATAGTATTTTATATATAAATTATATTTAAATATAATTGATATATTCGCATAATATTTTATATAAAAATTATATATTTAAATTTATATTGATATAAAATATCTTTTATTTTTATTAAAATTTTAAATTATATAATATATCAAAATTTAAAAAATCAGACTTGAAAGGTAGATAAATTCAATCAATCCAATTAAAGAAATACTTTATTTTTTAATTGTTAAAACGATTCGTATATTCGTATCATATAAAATATTAAAATTTATGTTTTCACATTATAATTTTCATAAAAATTACTTATTATAATTCATATCTACATAAAAATATAAAATATATTTTTAATTTATTAAATCTATATATAATTGTTATTAAAATTTTAAATTATGTTATTTTTATGTTTTATATTTTTATTATGTTTTATTATATCATCACACTGTATTTTAATTTATCATGTCTAATTAAAGGCACAAAAACTATTGCTGATGGAAAAACCAACAGTTCATAATCTCAACCATCAAGCCCAAAACATAAGCAAAATCCCCAATATACAACATTAGAATTGTACCAACACTGATTGAGGAAAACTAGCAAGTTCTACACGAAGAGAAATCAAAAAATAAAAAATATCAGGAATTTTGTCTCAATAGAAGAAACCAAGTACTTTTCCACCAACATTCTTTCTTCTAGCTTCTTCATGGTCCATGATGCCAGCAGATGTGGTGAGCACAATAAATCCAAACTGCAATAAGAAACACACAAACAGCATAAGATAGCACTCTCATTTCGATTGATTAATCCTTCATAAGCTTCTGTCATCCAGTGGACAATTAGAATAAATACAAGACATGGCACGCAACAAATAAACAAAACAATGACAATTTTAGATATGACATGATAATATGATATAAAAATAACATGTAATAAATTATATGTATTTTTTATAATCGTATTTCGTGTTTTAATCGTATTGATACATTTAAGAAATAACGTTACACGTGTCGTGTTTTGTGTTTTACGTGTGTTTTATGTTTAAGACACGACTAATTAATTAATTGAGTTTTAATCATGTTATCATATTAATACATATAAATGACACGTTGATAACACACATGTAATCGCATTTTAGTGTTTTTGTTATATTATCATTTTAATTTAGTGTTAAATTGCTAATTATATATTTTAATATTAATTGTGTTTAATCGAATTAATCATGTATAATTAAATTAATCATATCATGCAGTGTTACTTATTCTTAAAATAAATTAAAATGTGTCAATCGTATCATGTCATGTGTAACACATATAATAAACATATAATATTCATGTTTTGATTATTCGTATCATTTAAGAATTTGTGTTGTATTCGTGTCAAAATCATTCTTATCATGTTTGAAATGATATTTGATATGAAATATAACACGACACGAATTGCAAAATATAAAATAATGCATAAATCAAAGAGTGTTTTCACCTTCAAATACATTTCATTCTATTCTTCTGACAAAATTTTCTTTATCTTGTCAATTACAAATTCTTATGAAAGCATAATACACAGAGAAGAGGGGCAAACGACAGGTCATGATCAGGCCTTCCTCAAAAATGATCATCAAGTTCCTTTTGGTCCTGCAGAAGCATGGTTTGTTAACCATACTCTCCATGCTTGTTTATTAAAAATTTAATTTTATTTATAGTAATATGAAGATACTGACACTTTTCGACTGCCATTGCAGGTTATATCGGAGAGTTTGAGTAAGTTGATGACCACAGAGCTGGTAAATTTGTCGTTGAACTGAACGGGAGGCTGAACAATGTGGGGTGATTAGTCCTCGTTTCGATGTCGGAGTCAAAGAGATTGAGGGTTACAATGAATAACAAACACTAATTTCTCACTGTCCCATTCTCATTCAAACAAAAAAGAAAATACCATTACAACCAAAACCCAACTTTTCTCCAGTGAATTACAATTATTCTAGCCATTCTAACATATAGGCAACCAAAACATATAGAAACAACTGACTCTTAACTTGCCTAGAGGCTCAAAAACCTTCTCAGCTTCGTTTTTGGATTTAGAAGATCAATAGCAACTAGCAAGCATTCAATAATATACAACATACAAAGATAAATACAAATAAATCTATTCAATTATAATAACTAAAGTCCAGCATAAGAAAAGGAACCAAAAACAGCAAATAAAAGTTGCTATCTGAAAAGGGAGAAAATCTATAACAACGACGAAGCTTGAGGAGCTGGTTGGATCTAAAATTTGAAAGGAAAATGAGGGTTTACCTGAAAGCAAAAATGGCGGCCGCTACAGGGTTGTTTAAGGAGAGTTAAGAGCAAAAAAGATAAGAGGTTTTGCCGTTTTGGTTTTTAAGGGGCGAGGAAATAGTGAAGACTGAAGACTATGTTTTAGGGCTCCCGAGTGACTGAAGTTCACAGGAATGAAAATGTCCCTTCGGGGTATATGTGGATCTTGCAAAGTCAGCTGCTCGACTGAAGGAACCATGCCGAAAAGGCCCAAGGAGTTATTTTTTAAATAATACTTTAAGGTAATGTTTGGTATTTATGATAATTGATAGGAGAATATGATAATTATTTTATTATATTTTGTTGATATTTAATTGAAAATGATAGAATTATAAGAAAAATTATCATCCCCTTAGTATAGAATAAGTCAATTCTTTTAATATATTTAATCTATGAGATTAAATTTATAAATTTTATTATATCTTTAAAAATTATATCAATAATTTAAATTGTATAAACTTTGAAGAAAGATAATTTTAATCAATAAATAAATTATCTTATCTTAATTTATGCATACATCAAATATAAGATATAATGATATTATTTAATCTAATCTTATTTATAATATCATCTAATTATATTTTATCATAATCTTATAGTACAGAACATGATCTAATATATTTATATACATATATATGTGTATGTGTGAAAGTATCCTATTAACATGTGACTATAGAAATTGTTTATACTAGGTTTTTTTTTTTTTGATAAGAAAAATCTATAATAGATAAACTGCTAAATCTCTAAAATCAGGGCAAAATGTACTATACTTAACAACCTAAGACAGGTGACTACAGATCATGCAAAATAAACCCTAACAAGTGATTACCGACAAGATTCGAACTCAAGATCCTTTCATCGATGAGGACGAGCCTTAACCAATTAAATAGTAGGCTTAAGTATAAAAATGAGAATTTAATTTAATTGGTATATTAAATATTTTTTAAAATTAAATTTTAACATGTCTAAAATTTAAATTTAAAGATTTAAAAGTTTTTTATTTTTGAATTACGATTGTTTTATATAAAAAAATATTATTAAACGAATGACTTTTATATTTAATGGATTATTTTCACTAAAATAAACAAAAAATATATATTAATTACATCTTTTTACTTATATATCATTTTTAATCGCTGTCATTATACACTAACCAAAGAATGACTGGTTTTTAGGGAGGATAAAAGGGAGAGAGAGAATGCATGACGAATTAATTTTATTTTGGGATTACTACTTGAAAATTTCAATTTAGGGAAATCTTAAAATTGCTACAAAGTTCAATCTAACATGTGTGACATTTTTTATTTAGTTCTTTTAAAAACAAATATACCCTTCATTACATTGAAAGAGGTAATAAGACTGTTGGAAAACTACACTTTGGGCCACTTTGTTATCAATATATGATGGATTTTAACTGTTATGACTTGAAATTTTTATATTTTAACTTGGGGAATATGTGACAACTTTTTGTTAATTTTGATTATCGTGACCAATGTGATAAGTTAAATGCTGAATTTTTCAACATAATTTTAATCTTAAACTAATAATAATAATAATATATCATAGTTAATATTCTCATAATATCATTTTCAATACATCCTTCCAAACTTCAATATTTGTTTTTCCATTTCAAAATCTTATATTATAGTAATTTAATAATTGAGTTATTAACAAAAATAGTAAAAAAAAATCCAAATAAAATATTTATTCGTTAGGGTTTTACAGTTTTTACTTTACAAGTTTAACCCTTATATATTAGGCAGTAATATGTATTATAAGGGCGTTTCAGTAATAGCATTAACTGAACATTTGGAGGTCATGGAAAGCCGTCGTTTCCGCGCAACGGCGCCTATTGATGTCATCAACCTTTCTTTGCTTGCCACGTCAACAATCCAAGTCAATATAAATAATCAAAATCCCATCTCACCGTCGGTTTGAATTTTCGTCAACCACGATCCAACGACGTAATACAACACCAAACCAGCAATCCGCGTCGCAAACAATGGATCCCAAATATCCAAACCATCTCCACCGTCAAGTTGCTCGCATAACTCAGCTCAATCCAACGGTTCAAATCCACCACGTCATCGATCCTTGTGAAAACTAAACAATCCAATAACCGCTATCGCTTCTATTTATATAAAGACCACCAAACTTCCCATTACAAGTATCTCACCCCAATTTCCTTCAAAGTCAATTTTCGTATCTCTTGTTTTCCTTAAAGCCAAACAAACCCTAACTCTGAGAAAATGGCACCTAAAGCCGAGAAAAAGCCAGCGGAGAAGAAGCCCGCAGAGGAGAAGAAGACGGTAGCCGAGAAGGCTCCGGCGGAGAAGAAGCCAAAGGCCGGCAAAAAGCTTCCCAAGGAAGGTGGAGCAGCGGCTGGAGACAAGAAAAAGAAGAGAACGAAGAAGAGTACTGAGACCTACAAGATCTACATCTTCAAGGTCCTGAAGCAAGTCCACCCAGATATCGGGATCTCAAGCAAGGCTATGGGAATTATGAACAGTTTTATTAATGATATCTTCGAGAAGCTTGCTCAAGAAGCTTCTAGGCTCGCAAGGTACAACAAAAAGCCCACGATCACTTCCAGGGAAATCCAGACTGCTGTTAGACTTGTACTTCCCGGCGAGCTTGCGAAGCACGCCGTTTCTGAAGGGACCAAGGCCGTGACCAAGTTTACTTCTTCTTGAAAAACGGATTTATCGTTATGTAGTTAGGGTTTTTTTTTTTTTTTAATTTTATGCATTTTAGGTATGTATTTGAAGATGGATCTACTCGATCCTAATGTGACTATGTTAGAATTGAATGCAATTAAATATAATTTCGCATAATTTCTGGGCATATGTTTCTTTAAAATTTATTTAATTCTGGAATAATGGTTTTTTTTTTTTTTTAATTTTATGCATTTTAGGTATGTATTTGAAGATGGATCTACTCGATCCTAATGTGACTATGTTAGAATTGAATGCAATTAAATATAATTTCGCATAATTTCTGGGCATATGTTTCTTTAAAATTTATTTAATTCTGGAATAATGGTTTTTTTTTTTTCATTTTCACGAATAATTGTGAAGATCCAACTTCAGTGAAACCAAGTTAGAACAAATTTGAAGAACAAGTTTTAAGAATGTTATTGTGGCTTGAGTCCTGAAATTATTGTGAGCAAGTGAATCAAATGATAAAAGCATTTGGACAGGTGAAATGAGCAATTTTTACTCAAGAAATGTCAGTTGAGTTTAAGCTTTCATAGCCAGATCAAGAAGCTCACTTGAATTGTCTTCCTGGTCCCTGCACAAAATGTTGGATGTAACATCCATCCTTCTAGCTGAAAAATCCAACTCCAAACTGGAACTCCTCTTTCAAGTTTTGGACCCAAGAAATCAATGCCCCCAAATCACTAGCATATGAAAATTCTTGAATTATTTGGTTTAAAGAAAGTTCCATTGATAACATTTCAACCGCAAAATTCTAATCAATCAGGTCAAAAGTTAGCAGCATTAATATCCTCATTTTTCACTGCAACATGGCCTTCAATATGCAGTCAAACTTTTGAGGCAAGTAGAGCTTACCTACATTGCATAATCAAAATAAAGAGACATATTAAACCTCATCTGCTTCCCAGCCAGCCACCAAGTAAAAGTAGAAATAACAGTTGCTAACATGATGATGAAGAGCAAAACAATTCATTAAGATCACAACGATGTAACGATGAAAACTCAAATTCCTACCATTGCAAGGTTGACTCGCACAAGCTGTGTGAAAATGTCTCTGCTAAATGAAAGCCTATACGGCTAGACCCTAATCAAAACAATTGTATGATGGTCCCAATGATGGATTGGTTAAACATCTGATGATAGGCACATAAGCTGTCAGATGTAACTTGTGCTCTAACAACAAACTCAATCACAATGATCCCGAAAACAGAGAAATGACTTCCCATATACAGTGATCCCGTAAGTTCTCAGTTTCTTTCCAAAAACAAACAAACAATGTGCCTCTGAAAGACAAAAGCAATTGTTTGGAAAGCAGCTGAATCGAAAATTGGTTAAAAGAGAACAAGACATTGTCTATAGTTAATTGCCCCAGCCCTTCGAAGACTGGTTTATATATATATACATATCGGCCTGCTTATGGATATTCCTTGAAACGGATTATTCTCTATCAAAGATTCAGCACCTTGATATTGGCTCTTCACCACCTTACTATAGGGTAAGTTCCAAGGATTGAGCTGCTCACCCCGCTAAATCAGTATGCAAACTAGGTTCAGAACATAATGATGCAGTTAGTATGTTCACCTATTCGAGCATTAATTGTTTGGCTGTAGGTTCAAATCCTACTTCGGGAGATTTCATTAATTTCTAAACAATTTGAATGTGCTACAAAGGTCTAGGGCATCAAATGAAACCATCCATCAAATAAATTTGGTATAACCCTAAGTTACTCACTACTGATCAAACATACGACATTCGATGATAACATCAAGTTTTCCTAAGTTGATTAAATGAAAATAAAAAACTAATAAAACTGAAGGGATCAAACCTGTGATGAGAAACATCAAACATTATCCCTTGTGTGCAAATTCAACTCGAATATTTCTACCATCCAGTACCTAAAAGCAACCATAATATGCAAAATGAAATCTCCGTTGAATTGCTCATTTTTAAGAAAAGAAATATTTAAATTTATAAGGAGATAACTGAGTAATTGAATTAATTACTTCAAAGTTCAAACAAACCTGGGAATCCATTTCTTTGAGAGCAGCAATGGCTGCAGCTTCAGAAGCGAACCGCACAAATCCATACCCTCTCGATTTCCCACTCACATGATGACAGATTACCCTAACTGCCCAAATCACAACATGTCTTTTTACCTCGTAATACAGAAAAACACGTCAAAGGAAAGAAGAACCCAAGAAAATTACCTTCAATGATTTCACCATGTTTTTCAAAAGCATTCTTCAAAACAGTCTCATTGGTATCATATGAAAGCCCTGAAATTAGCAAAACTTATCACAAATCAATTATATAAAGGTAAAATTGAAATAAAATAGTAAATAACCGCTTTTTTTGAGCAAATTTTCTCAGCCCAGAGACAGAAATGTCACCGTTTGGATAAAGAGAAAAAAGAGTACGAAAAATTCAAGACCTCCAACGAATAATTTGGAGCAAGAATCGCGAGTACAAACCAATCCAGCCAATGGGTTTTTACGGAAAACACGAACCGCTCCGTTAATACACTGCATTTTTTCAATAATAAGCTCATTTAGGGTTGCCGAATGTCCAATAGAATGTCTCAAACTTAGAAGTAATGAACTTTTCTTTAGGTTAACTTGTTTGGAGGAAATTAAAATTTAGAAAATAAAATATTTAACTTTTTAAAAATAATGAATTTTTATTATTTAGCTGATTTATTGTAAAATATTTTTTATTGTATGGTTATTTTAAAAAATTTTATTTTTTAAATAATATTGACATACTTGTTAAAATATTTATAATTATTTATGATTACAAAATATTAAATTAGTTAATTATTAAATTTATTAATATTAAAAAATTAATAATATAGTAATTACTTTCTTTTTTTTAGCAATAAGTTTCTTTTTTATTAAAGAAATTGGCAAATTTTGAGCTAATGTATTTCGCATTATATATAAAAAAAAGCATTAAAATTAACAAAATTAACTTCAAATTTCATTAAAATCTGCAATTCAGGGAAGAATTACAAATCGCAAAAGCAAACAACAGAACAACTTATAATTTCTAATAATCCCAACAGACCAACTAATTACAAGCCCTAATACTAATCGCTCAAGCATTCTTGACGGCAAGGCTTTCAAATCCCCATCACCGACTGTCTCAAACCTAAACCCTAAATTCATCTAAGATCTAACCACCAAATCCATACAAAGTCCTACCCTGCCTCTTCAGTGCATAAACCACATCCATAGCGGTCACAGTCTTTCTCCTCGCGTGTTCGGTATAGGTCACGGCATCACGAATCACGTTTTCCAAGAAGATCTTCAGAACCCCACGAGTTTCCTCGTAGATTAAGCCACTGATACGCTTGACCCCTCCCCTACGAGCCAAACGCCGAATTGCTGGCTTTGTAATTCCCTGGATATTATCGCGGAGGACCTTACGGTGGCGCTTTGCTCCTCCCTTGCCAAGTCCCTTGCCCCCCTTTCCTCTTCCTGACATCTTGAAAATCCAACAAGGATGGCGAAAATTATTTTGTTGATTTGGTGATTTGATGGATACCTTAGGGGATTGAAACTAAATGGTGGGATTTTAATAGGGGAAGTGGGGAGTGCTCAGTTGGGAGAGTGATCCATGTGAAATGCTTAACGATGAATTTTGGCCGTTGATAAGTTATAATAGAGGGTTGAGATGAGGAAAATTATTAACGCGGATCCATGACGTGGATAGATTTTAGCGGTTATTTTGAAACGCCCTTTTCGGTTTTTGTGTTTCTTCTGTGAGTCGAAAACTCGAAAACGATTTTTGCAGCGGTAAATAGCGCGCCAAGATTTGGAATTTTCGACCTCAGGACTCCGTTTGTTTCATTAAAAATACCTTCTTAAAAATAAGCTTTAGAAAATAAATTTATTTTTTAAAAAAGTCTGATTTTTTTCTTATTTGAATGATATTATAAAAAATATTTTCTGAATTTTGAATTTTTCACAAAAATCAATATTTTCATTAAAATAATATTCATCACATAACTATTTAAATAATATTTTTACGCTTATTAGTAATAATAATAAATATTACAAATATAAAATTAATATTAATATTAAAAAATAACACAGTACAATCATTATAATAAAATCCTACAATCTTAAAATATAATAAATGGTTTACATATTGTTTTTACATAAAAATAATTATACAAAAGTTACAAATTATGTCCACAATTGCAAATTTTACCTAAATAAAAATAATTTTTAGAGGTACAAAATAGTTAATATTATTCTTAAACATAATATACCAATAATAACCATAATTAGCCTATACAAAGAAGTGAGTTCCATACAAACAATATTAATATATTATTAAAAAATTACAAGTATTTACTAATAAAAATTTAAATTTTAAAAATATTTACTATTTAAATAGTTTTATTTTATATTGAAATTATTTATTATTAAATTGTAACAAATGTATTATTTAATTATATTTATAATTAAAACATTAACATAAATACATATGTTAATAAAATATAAAAATTAATAAATTAATAAATGATTAAAAGTCATATTTTTTAAAAAATATTATTATATAAAACAATATTAAATATTAAAATAATAAAATTTATTTATTGTATAAATATTTATTGCTAAAATTATAATATAAAACTAATCATTGAAATATTAAAGTTATATATAATAATATACAAACTATAAATATTTAAAATTAAAATATAAAAATTTTTAAATATTAATATTTTAATAATTTGATTTTTTAATTGAAAGCAAACAAGTAAAATTAATTTTTATTAATATAATACTATTTCATATTAGATAAAATCAAGTTTAGATTTCATTTTCCGTTTAGATTTTATTGTATTTAAATTTTATCATATTTTCAGTGAGATTAAATTAATATAAATTATTCATTAAAATTTTTTAATTGTAATTATAATAATTTTTATTATTATTATCAATCTTATCACAATCAATTTTATCATTTATTCAAATATAGCTTAATTAAAATTATAAAAATACTAAGACATTTTATATTAATATTTAAATTTTAATTAAAATTAAATAAAATATTATTACTAATAAAATAATATTTTGAATTTCGTCTAATTACTTAAAAAATCAAATTTAAGATTTAATTTAAATTGATTTATTCTCACAAACTTAATAAATAATTTTATTATTCTTCAAAAATTATCTTTTTCCTTACAATTTTTAAAAATTAGCCGGTTTTTTTTAACCAATTAATTTTTTACTAAACAAACATAAAAAAATACAGAAAAATCTTCTTAAAGTCAGTTGTTTGCCAAAACAAACAAAACAAACAAAGCCTTAATTTCAAATTGCCATGAACAAAGCAACTCATACATGATAATGTAAAGAACATTAGACAAGTGGTTTCATTTCCATTGAAATTACATATATAATAATGTTAAATCTGTTTTCAACCTTCTTTTCCCCTACAATAACCCTAAAAAAAAAAAAAAGGATCCTAAGGACCCCAAAATCACATACAATTAAGAAAGAAGGCCTAATGATCGAAGTTTCCTAGTCCAACTAAGCTTTCTTAGGAGACTTAGTGGCCTTTGATGGAGATTTGAGTTCCTTGGTGTCCTTTTCAGTCTTCTTTGGCAAAAGAACAGAATTGATATTTGGTAAGACGCCGCCGTGAGCGATGGTGACGCCGGCGAGAAGCTTCCCCAGTTCTTCGTCGTTCCTCACGGCCAGTAGCATGTGCCTCGGAATGATCCTGTTTTTCTTGTTGTCACGTGCTGCATTTCCAGCCAATTCCAGAACCTAAATTCAAATCCAAATTCACCCATTTAAGAATTATAATAAAATAATAACTCATTTAATAATTTAGTTTAGCTCTTAGTTACCTCAGCAGCCAAGTACTCAAGAACGGCAGCCATGTAAACTGGAGCTCCGGTTCCTACCCGCTCCGAATACCTCCCCTTCTTCAAGTAACGCCCGATTCTTCCGACGGGGAATTGAAGCCCAGCTTTGAGGGACCTTGAAACGGGCTTCTTCTTTGGGCCACCACCTTTTCTTCCTCCGGCACCCTTCTTTACTTTTCCTACGGATTCCATTGCTTCGAACCGACCCGGATAACACCCGCTACCGCTTTATGAAATTAAATTCTTAACTTTAAAGCAATACTATATTAATTGGAATTCACGAGAGAATATGGGCATGTAACGCCAGGTTTGTGTACTTTATAGCGGTGGTTTTGTAAGAAGTGGAGTGGAGCGAGAGGGCAACGAGAACCGTTAGATTGAGAAATTATCGACCGTTGAAGATTACTTGGGGGCGATCCGTGTGGTTTTGAATGAACCAACGAGGAGCGAGTTTGAATTTTTTTTTCTTTTTTAATTTGTCTCTTGACGAATAAAATGGGCTTCTTTTGTTTCCCGCTTCTGAATTTTGGGATTTAGAACGCAGTGTCTTTTAGTGCCGTGCCGTGTAAAGTACAAATGCAAAATTTTAGTTATACTATTAAATGGGGGTATTTTGGTACATCATGTTATGTCATGTTCTTATGTTCAAACCTATTTTTGGCTAGTACAAACGAGATCCTTTCGGCCTTTAGTTGGCATGTATATTCTCCGCTCTGTTTAAAAAGTAATGAAAGTTTTTATTAATTTATTTAATGATTAATAATGTATCTCCATTTACATTAATGATTAAAATTGCATAATTTTAAATTAAATATAAAAAATATTTTTTAAAATAATATCAATCATAAATTTAGACTAAGATACATTAATAAATATTAGATAAATTAGTGAAAACTTTCATTACTTATCCTTTTTCGTTGGCAAAAAAAGCTAGTTCATCAACATAAATTTATATTGAGATGTCAATTTTATTTTTTTAAAGTTAAATTTTTTATTTGAATGAAAATAATTATAAATATCAAATTTTGGAGACATGTAAGATTTTAAATTTGTTATTATGTGCGAAAACGATTAATATATTATTCATCTTATATCCTATATATTTATATATTTAGTAAATAATTTTTTTAAATAATATAAATTTTATTTTAGATTATTTATAATTAATATATTTTTATTTCAAATTTGTATGTTAATATATATTTATCAAAAAATTATATTAATATGAAAATAAAAAATTTTAGTTTTTATTATTTAAAAACTACAGATACGAGTATTATCGTATCCATTCGATATTCAAAATGGATGATAATAAATATAGATTTGAAATATCCATTAGTTATTGATACGGAGATCAAAAATATTTTATTCATCTCATATTTTATCCATTGATATCTCTAATTTATACGCATATTTTAGAGTTTAATATGAATAATTCATTCATTATTTTTAAAAAATGAATTCTCATTTTTAAGTTTTGAAATCCATTGTACGAATAAACAAAACTATGTAATATCTACAATTAAGAAGAAAATTGTTTATTTTAACATGGCAATAATTAATATCCAATATTAATATGAAGATTCAAAACAATCTTTTTTTTTTAATTCAGTTGTTATTATTAAGTTATATTTTTAAATATTACTAATACAAGTTATAATTATAATCAAATATTACATTTATATATAATTATCACTAACTAATTATATAAACTCACAATTTAAAATATAATTAAATAAATTCAATATAAATTTGAACTAAATGACACATGGTTAAACTTTAACTTAATAAGTAAGGGTTAGACTAACACGCAATAGGGGATGGAGGTAATTGAATTATGCAATAACCTTGAATTAGACCCTTTATAGGTAGCCATAAACTCACGTTTTATTATTCACAATAATAAGTAATTATAAATGCATGAGACATAACCTCATAATTAACACCTCTTTTACTCATAGTTCATTATTTTAGTTATTATTACTTAAAAGAATACATAGTTTCATTAACACGGCTCCAAACTCGAAAAAAATTTGATTAAATTAGTTTAGTTCATTGTATGAATATAATACGTGATTATAATTGTAATTTAAAAAATACATATTTTCATTAATACGACTCTAACCGTTAAAGAAAATCGTTTTTAACCAAACAACATAAATAAGTTTAAAACACTATAAAATTTTCATAATAATTACTTATAAATTTCATTAATATATATAAGGAGGGATCTAATTATATGGGTGTAAGAATTACATATTTTTTAACAATTAAATCAAAATAACTAAATGTAAATATTATAAATTGTATATTTACAATTTATTTATTTATATATATATATATCAAGTATCATAAAATTACTAAAAGCAGTTTTATTTTAATAAAATTGAAAATAAAAAAATTTAAAGTTTCAAACATTGTTAAGGTGTATACTGGGCTTGGTTTTGGTTTTCATAGTTTACCCATATTACATATCACGGACTTACATCTGGCCCATTGGTCTGGGCTGAGTTATAAAAAGGTTTATGATCACGCGTCGGACTTGGGAGAGCCTATCTCATGAATCCATGTTCCGAATCCCAGTCGAAAACCGACCGCGAAAGCAACCTGGCTTCGGGGCATAGCCGACATTTCAACTTCAAGCTACGCGTCACACTGTCATTGGACAGACCACGTTTCTCTCTCCGTTGTTCCGCACGACCTCTGAGATATTTCACTTCACGGTGGAACAAAAAAATGAAAAAGAAAGACAAAAAATAAAAAAAGGAGTCCTTTTGCTTGTTGAAATATTATTGTTGTTATCTGTCACTCTCAGTCTCTTCGAGAAGCCCAGTTCCGTCTACCATATTGTTAGATATTTTTGTTGCCCTAGATTTTCACTCTGTAAGTTTTACCTAGAAAAGCCATGGTGAGTTTTACGTATCCTCTATTTTTTTTTTGCTTTTATTTTCCTTTTCTTTTTCGTTTTCTGTTCAGTTATTGGTTTTTGATCCGTGCTTCTTTGAGATTTTGATTTACTGTAAGTTTTTTTAAAATATTGTTAATGTAGATCTGATTTATCATTTGTATTGAACATAGATCTCCGTGTTTTCTGCTGATTAACTTAGTTTGAATTTGAATCGATGATTTGACGGTACAATAAGTGTTCATTGTTTGATCTCTTGTTTGATGCTTTGTTGTTTTGGATTGTTAAATTTGTATCAAATGTGAGAATTTAGTATAGATAAAAGATGCTTTAGTTAATCTCTATGGATCTCTCATTTTGATTCCTTCGAAAATTTACGTTTGAATACAATCTTAATAAGCGTTTTAATGTTTAATGAACTATTGATCATGAAGTATTAGCTGTTTAATACGAATATCTTTCTTGGTTTTCTGTTTCAAAATGGGATTACTTTCTTGATCATTCTTCCAATGTGCATTGTGGATAGATGATTGTTTTGAAGCAGTGTCCTATTGATGACCAGTGACATGTCTTCTCGACTACCTTTATCCTTGTTGTTGCTTGAAGTTATCTCAAATAAAGGCATTGGCATTCATCTCTCATAGTGGCGCCAGTTAGTTAAAGTTCTAAGATTGGAATATTGTATTTATGCCCGTTAAATGTGTAAAAATTTGGGTGATTTCAAATTTACGGTTTATTTTCAAAACACTGGAATATAAGTGGGGATTGGATCAATGTGGTCGGCCTAGATGGTTCGTTTTGTGGGTTGGTTAATGAATTGGGCTCTCATTATGGAAGTAATGTTTCAAGTCATTGACCTGCATTTTTCTTCTTTTCTAAATGGGACAGAACTCAAAAACATGCGATTTCTTTATTTGGCCTATTGATGATTTTGTTTCTTGGGAATGCTTGCCAAGAGAAAAGGGAAAAGCTTTGGAAAAGCTGATATATTAATTGGTAATATATAATTTGAAGGGGTCATTGTTGTAAGTAAGCTAATGTATTCTATGAACTATTCTATTGCAGGCTAATGCAGCTTCTGGAATGGCTGTGCATGATGACTGCAAGCTGAAGTTTCTAGAGTTAAAGGCTAAAAGAACTTACCGCTTCATAGTATTCAAGATTGAGGAGAAACAAAAGCAGGTTGTTGTGGAAAAGGTTGGTGAGCCAACTCAAAGCTACGAGGATTTCACTGCAAGCCTCCCTGCTGATGAGTGTCGATATGCTGTATATGATTTTGACTTTGTGACTGCTGAGAATTGCCGGAAAAGCAGGATTTTCTTCATTGCATGGTACTATTACGCGCTTAAAACTATTAGTGGTTTTTACTATTATTCCCAAGCCTTGTGCATTTTAATCATTGCTGTTTATGTTTCTTGTTGTTTGTATTAAGGTCTCCTGACACATCAAGGGTGAGAAGCAAGATGATTTACGCTAGCTCCAAGGACAGGTTCAAGAGAGAGTTGGATGGTATTCAAGTAGAGCTGCAGGCAACTGATCCCACTGAGATGGGACTTGATGTTATAAGAAGCCGTGCCAGCTAAATTGGAGTCTCCAAGAGGCAGGAATGGAGATATTCAAGTGCTCTCTGCTTTTGCTTTAGATGAAATGTTAATAGGCTGTGGGGGGCGGTATCCACCTGACTGAACTATGATATTGGTTTCTTGTTCAAGTTTTATATTGAAGTCTTCGTCTAGAACAAGTTTACTGATTTCCATTTATATCTTATGATTTGTTATGCATGGAGGTTATATGATGGAGTGTCGGGCAGTTGAGTCATTAAAACAAAAATCTTCTTCGGGGGTATGATACACTCTTTTCGAGGTTTGTTTTTGCAACTATAAAAATGAATGTTTGGTTTTACAGGTAAAAATGGTGCCCTGCGGGTTAATTGATTCTGTTTGGTGATCTGAAATGCGAACTGGAATGTTTGCTAATTTTTGGATTTAATGACATGCAGATGAAATATTAATGAAGTTGGTCTCATTGTCATTGTGGAAGCCTTTCTGATTTCTACAATCTGCTTTATTCATTGAATTTCATTTAATTTAGACAAATACAATTTGAGCAAGCTTAATTCATTTACTCGAGGCTTTCACCTATTCCATCCCCCTTTCTGGTCATGGTAATGAAACCAAGTACGTTGACAAGCTTATGCATTTCTTTTTTTTTTATTGAATGAATGGTAAGCTTTTTGGTCATCCTTCGGTCGCATGCTACAATCCTTCCAGTTTACAAGGTTACACTAATATACACGAAGGCCATCCAAGGAATAGTGTTTTATGTTATAGAGTAGAAAGAACTTGTAAACATGAAGATGATTGAGAGTAAAATTTAAAAAAAAAATTTTATATAGATGTAATAAAAATAATATATATATATTTTATATATTTCGTATCAACATAAATTATGATATATAATTTTCATATAAAATACACACATAAATTGTAATATCGATGAGAATTAATGCTACCTATCAAGGCCATCCCAATAACAACACATCTTGGGAAGTCTTCGGTTTCCTGTAAAAAACGTTTTTCAAGCATAATATTCATCAATGTTCATATATGAATTCTTCCAACGAGTTCCATGAACAAGATTATCATGTGTAACCTGATTTGGCTTAACACCTCTTCTCAACATGTCATCACGCAATTCAAAAGCCTTTTTCAGTTCTCCAGCAATGCAACAACCAGGGGTATAAACGAGTCGAGCCGAGCCGAATAATGAGAAGCTCGAGCTCGACTCACAAGTTGGGGCTCGATACTCGGTTCGAGCTCGATCGAGTTTTATTTTTCAAGCTCGAGCTCGATTCATGATCGAATTCAAGTTACTCGAACTCGTTCGATTAAGCTCGATTAATATGTAAAAATAAACTCGATTCGTATACTCAACAAGAGTTCGATTATTCATACTCGAATTCGAACTCGGACTCGAAATATTTTATTAATTAAAATAATAAAAATATATTTAAATATAAAAGTTCGATTAGGCTCGCGAGCTACTCGAGTCAGATATAAGAATACTCGAATTCGACTCGATAAGTCGAGCTACTCGAGCTCGAGCTCGACTCGACAATAATCGAACCGAATTCGAGTTTTTTTCGAATCGAATCCGAGTAGCTTGCGAGTACTAATGTATCATTTACACTCCTAACAACAACCATATATCAAAAGGTTATATGCCAGTGTATCTGGCTTTATACCCTCATTTAGCATCGAGTCCCACAGCTGAATAGCTTCCGGTAAATTACCCCTTCTGCAGTGCTCATAAATTATAGTTGAATAAGAAATACAATCCGGGAAAATAACATTGTCAGTCATTCCAACTAAAAGCTCCATCGCCTCCTGAAGTCTACCCAACTTGCAAAAACCACGGATAAGTATATTAAGTGTGACTGTGTTAGCTAAAACTCCTTTAAAAATTGCATTGTGAAGCTCTACAGCTTTCTCCATACTTCCTTCCTTAGTGAGATGATCAATGAAACAACCATATGTTATCTGATTTGGAAGCGAATCACTGACCAGCATTTCTTTACAAAGAAGCTCAGCTTTATCCATGAAACCTGCCTTACATAAACCATTTATCAGAGCAGTATATGTCACAACATTTGGAATGCATCCTTCACCAATCATAATATCCCAAAGCCCAAAAGCCTCCCTAAGGTTTCCTGCTTTACCATTTGCATCAATCATGCTCGTATACATCACATTGTCAGGGCTCATCCTTGATCATCCATCTCCTTTAAAGGACCAGCTAACCTTCTTGTGTCATGATGTTTTAGAGTTCCATCAATAAGTACGCCATAACAAACAAGGTCCATATTGATGCCTCATGCAACCATTTCATGACAAGCACTCAATGCATCCTCTAATTTTCCTTCCTTGCAATAACCATGTAACAGTGCACTATAACACATCTCATTCAACTTATGATGATCTCTGTGCAAACCATCCATGAACTCTTTGGCTTCTGATACACTACCAATAGAGCAAAGACCACTTATCAGAGGCCTACAAGTATAAGTATCAGGCACAAGACCTTTCTCTGCCATTTCATCAAGCAATTCAAAGGCTTTTGCCATGTTACCATCCCGGCAGTGCCCCTCGATCAGAACATTATAGGTCACCTCATTTGGTATAATGTTTCTCTCCACCATTTGACCAAACAATCCAATTGCCTCAGCCATCATATTTGCCCGACAAAGGCCAGAGATAAGGGCAGTAAACGTGTCAGTATTCGGTGCAATTCCCTTCCCTGTCATCTCATGATAACGCCTAAATGCCTTGTGCAATTTTTGTTCATTGCAATATCCACTTAACAATGATGTGTAAGTTATCACATTTGGCTGCAATCCTTTGTTAATCATCTCACCAAAAACAGACTCAGCTAAACTCAAATTTCCTAGCTTGCAGTACCCACCCACTGATTAAAGAATTGTAGGGATAGACTGTTACTTTTATTCCTGCCTCCATCATTTTACCAAGAAAGCTAAGTGCAATATCCATTTTCCCTCTTCTACAAAATGAATCAATCAAAATAGAATAAGTAACATCATTTGGATACAAACCATTGCCATTTCATTGAAAAGCAACTCTGCTTCATAAAATTTCCCGTCTTTGCACAATGAATTGATCAATGCATTGTAAACAAACAAATTAGGTGCTGCCCCAACTACCCCTTCTTTCCTTACCAAACCAAAAGCATCGTCAATCTTCCCCTTCCTCCTCAACGCCTCAACTAGACTTGTAACTACAGCTTTACCTGGTACAAAACCAAACTCTATCATCTCCTTGATCAACTCCACAGCAACATCAAACCCCTCAACTCTGCAAAAACCAAGTACTAATGTATGGTACGGGATAATATCCGCTGCCAAACCCCTGTGAACCAATCCATTCTTAATCTCAACCGCCTCCCACACCCTCTGACTCTTACAAAGCCCATGAATAAGCACATTGTAAACCACCACATTCAACTCGCTCCCATTCGACACCATTTGACAAACCATTTCCTTAGCTCTAACAAAATCCTTCAATTCGCAAAAACTATGAATCACCACAGTGTATATAAAAATATCAGGCCTAACACCAGCTTTCACAATCTCATCAAACACTTCCAAAACAATACCAAACTGCCTAATTTTCGCTAAATCATTTAAAAGAGCACTTAAAGTCCTAATTTCAGGCAATAAATAACAATTACACTTCCTCATTAATCTAAATATCATTAAACCATCAAAAGCTCTCTTATTTTGCACATAAGTTTGGATCAACAAATCAAAACCCGAACTCGAAACAAACTTACATTTCTCAGAAGCCTTCGAAAGGGCTTCAAAAACCTCCATCGGACTCAAACCACGAAGCAAAAGCGTTTGTAAAAGCGAAGAGGCAGGCCAAAAGAGATTAACGTTAAGCAAAGCGTGAATCAACACACAAAACGACTCCGTTGAGTGGTGGAAGTTTTTGTGGAGTCCCAGGAAGTTAAGAACCTTAAAGCTAACCTCGGGTCGTCCAAGGTTTGGATTAAAACTTCCTCGACATAGTGAGGTTCTAGGAAAGCCGTGTCGTTTAATGCGATCTTCCAGCTTTGTCTTCCTCGTACAATGAGTTTCAGGTTGGAAATGACTTGGTTGTCTTCGGCTTTTTCTTCATTGTCTTGAATGGAGAATTTAGATGTAGAAAAAAACCTCTGTTCTGAGAAAAGGTTATGGGTTTTGAGAGCTCGAGCATGGCGAGTTAGCTTCATTTTCGGGTTCAAATGGGAGCTTTTTCGGGGTTTGAACCATGGATTTTGGGGGGCTCGCCGAAATAGGAGCTTTGATCAGCTTTCAGGGGATAGTTTGCTGCGACAGTGAACGGGTCAGGTCAACCTGGAGTGAACAAAAACATGTTTCTTGGGCTAATCGGGTAGTTATCCGATTTGTTGAGCCTTGATCCTTAATCCTGATAAACGCCCAAGCAAGGATACTTGGGCTAGGTTCATAACCCACTCCCCCCTGTGGACAACTCAAAATCGGGCCTAAAAAAATTTATGGAGCCCAAGCCGAGTCTGGTTTGACTCCAAGTAAGCCACTAGTAGTAACATACCAATATTAACTTTAATTTTATTTAAAGAAATTTTATTAAATACACTAATAATTGAGTTTTTTAAGTGTCCATTTGGCACACTTTCGATGAGATACGATTGAACTCATAATACTATTAGTTAAATTTAAATGCTAACTCCAATAATATCAATTCATCATAAATTTTTCATTAAATTTTTTTTAATTACAATTACAATATTTTTTTTAATCAAATTATAATAATTTTTATTACTATTTTCAATTTCATCGTCATTCAAATATAACCTAACTCCATAAATTAGGTTAAAATGATGACACATGATTCTTTATGAATATTTTAAAACAATAATTTAAAAAATAATTGATATATATGTCATCATCTTAGTCTCATTTATATAATTAAAAAATTCAATTGTCAGTGTATCAAATAAATTTTCTTATTTAAATCCTAATGAAGTTTTAAAGTATAGACTTGTGTTTGCGAAAACTCTTCTAGATTCAAAGCCAAATAAAATATGTCTAGGTGTTTATTTTAGTGTTTATAATTGTTTGGTAGGGATGATAGAAATTAGTTAGAATAAAAAATTTATTCATTTAATGATTTTTTTTTTTTTGTAATTTAATTATTAGATTAACAAAATTTTAATTCTTAACCATTTTCATCGTTAATACCAAACAAAGTCTTAGTGTTCCACTTACAGAGAATAAAACAACAGTAATATATTTATTTTTTAAAACTTTATTATAGTGCATAAGACTTGGGTGGTTTTTTTTTTTTCATATAGTATATGTTATTTGATAAAGTAATATTGTGTATTTAAGTTTCAATTCATCATCCATAGATCTATCTATTTGTCTTAGGTTAATCAAAAGTGGTTAATTACACGAGTACCAAATTTTAATATGGATTAAATTAATAATAAATTTTTATTTTTCTCTCACTTAATAAAATAAAAATATAAGTGTGTCGAGACTATTATCCGTTAGTTAAATGTCTACCTTCTAAGAAAAAGAAACATAGATGATTTATGATTATTTGTGTGTATAAATCATATATAATAATGAAAATTTAGAAAATATATAATAAAAATACTCACTTTAATTCATTCAATATATTTGCATAATCCCACGAACGCAATGTGTATAAAACACATTGGTGGCAATACAAATACATGATTAGAGGTGATAGAATGAATATGAACAAAAAATCTCATTAAAAAATAACCAAATTTTAAATAATTTAAATTCAAAATTATCTAAATTCAAAAATTAACTTGACTTGAATTTGAAAGTATTAAATAAATATATTTTATATTTCATTGATTATTGAACAAAATTTACGGGAATTAAATATTTTAAAAATATATATTAATTTAAATGAAAATTGTCATTAATTTCATTGCTTTATGTATAGAAAATTCAACAAAATAAAAAGAATGGTAATAAAATTGAATGAAATCAAAATATAATATGAATATTCAATATTGACTCATAGTTTATGAGCAAATTTGAAGATATAAATACCTGGTAAATATGATAAATTTCTCTATGTGAAAGGCTTAATAGTTTTAGATTTCGTTTGTTTCACAGAATTTGACTTCCGAAAAATGAATTTTTGAAAAATATTTACATTTTATGAATTGAAATAGATTTTTTGTTGTTTGAATGAGTTAACGAAAATATTTTTCTTTATTTTATTGTTTTTTGAAAAATTTATTTTTTTTCAAATAATATATATAACTATTAAAATTGAGTTATTATTAAAATATATTGAAATTATTTATTATTAAATTTATTAATATTAAAATAATTATATTTTAATAATAATATTTAATATTAAAATATTATGTTAATATAAAAAATACTTAAACTAAAACTATTTATTATTCTTTATATTATTTATTAATATATTATGTATTAATATATTATTATGATATTTATTAGTTAAATTAATAATATATATTATTTTATTAATATATTATAAGTTTATTTATTAATATAGTATTATTTATAAGTAAATTTATGCTCAAAAGTATTGATAAATAGATCTACTTATAGATAGCTTTTTTTCGGAATATATATTCTCTTTTTCAAATCTATAAGACAATTTACAAAAAAATTACATTATTTTCTATTGATCAGGAATCAATTTTCTATTGATCAATTAGTTTTTCATCAAATAAATACTTAAAAATACGAAAATTATTTTTTGAAAATTATTTTTCTTGAAATAAACGAAGCCTAATAGATAAACATATTGTTAAGGGCATTTTTAGATTAAAAAACTATTGCGATATTTTTTCTTATTATAAACAGTCAACAGATAACTAAGAGTATTTTAGATTTTTATGATAATTTGACATGTTGAATATCATATCAATCCAGTCACATCATTATTATATCCCACAAATTTTTTATATTTAGCCTATAAATATAAATACCTAATTTTTATTATTCCATTCCATTATATTTTCAAATTATTACTTTTCTCTTATTCCAATATTTTTTATATCAAATTTTGACTTACGTATCAAAATGTAATCGTAAAAAAATTAACTGCTTTCTCTATTTTTTTTTTTTTTAAATCTAAAGTTACATTCAATTCAAAATCTTAGTACAAACATAAACATGTATAAACAAATTATTGTAAATCTCATAATTATATCATAATCTGGATTATAATGATATACACTTTGATTATCTATGAAAAAATTGTGTTTATATATCATGTAAGCTACATGAGTTATTTTATTTTCTCATATCACCTAGTAATAAGTACGAGGAATCAGAACAAAAGTGTACGGAAATATTCAATTTTCACATATCCTAATGTTTTATCTATTGCTAACATTTTAATTGATAGAGTAATAATGGTTTATCTGCTAACATTTTAATTGATAGGATAATAATGGTTTGAATTAAATTTAATTCAATTTTTTTAGATATTATATAATATTATAAAATTTTAAAATTTGATTCGAATACTATTTGAAGTTTCATATATTTGAATCGAATCAAATAAAATTAAAATTTTTGTTTTGATTTATTAATTTTTGAAATACTTTTAATATATTTAAATAAAATTGGTATAAAATTATTATTTTTATTTATAAAAAATTAAAATATACATAAAAATTAATAAAAATATATAATTCAAATTGATTTAATTTTTTATTTGTTAATTTAAAAATTGATATAATTTAATATTTATATTTAATATTTAAATTTAATGCAAACTAAATAAAAAAAATCAAACTAAATTAAACTCAATTTTTAATTTTTTTCAAAAATTTTCTCATCCCCAAGGATGGAAAATTTGGATTTTTCACTTGGGCGGGTAACCAAAAACGTCTCCAAATTATGAACTGCTCCCACCCCGCGCTCATCAATTCAAACCCCATAAAACCTACCAATAACAATCCTCCACGTATACAACGTTACTTCCCACGTAAACGGTGGCTCAAAAGTCTTTCCAGGCCCGTCCATCCAATTACATAATCCAATGGTCACAATTCTCCACGTCAGTAATCCGCGTCTCTCCGAATCCTCCAATCGAACTCTTCCTTTCACCTCTATAAATATCAAACCCCAACTCCCCTTAACTTATAATCAAGCGCCAGAGAAGCAGTCAAGTCTCCTTGCCCTTTACTCATAGAAAGACTATTATCCATGGCCCCAAAAGCCGAGAAAAAGCCAGCCGAGAAGAAGCCAGCCGAGGAGAAAAAGACCACCGTCGGCGAGAAATCCCCAGCGGAGAAAAAGCCAAAGGCCGGCAAGAAGCTTCCCAAGGAAGGCGCGGCGGCTGGCGATAAGAAAAAGAAGAGAGCCAAGAAGAACGTGGAGACCTACAAGATCTACATCTTTAAGGTACTGAAGCAAGTACACCCAGATATTGGGATCTCAAGCAAGGCTATGGGGATCATGAACAGTTTCATCAACGATATCTTCGAGAAGCTTGCTCAAGAAGCTTCTAGGCTAGCAAGGTACAACAAGAAGCCTACGATCACTTCCAGGGAAATCCAGACTGCTGTTAGACTCGTACTTCCTGGAGAGCTTGCGAAACACGCTGTGTCTGAAGGCACTAAGGCGGTTACCAAGTTTACTAGCTCTTGAATTTAAGAGGGTGAAAAAGTTAGGGTTTCTGTATTTTGGGGGTTTGTGAATTTGATGAAATTTGGGTATTTAGGGTTAGGGTTTTATGGTAGTTTAACTTAAATGTTTCTTTTTTTTTTTTTAAATATTTTGTCGGTCATTGTAGTTTTGTTTAATGTAAGTACTTGTTTCTAATGGATCTAAAATGATTTAAACGTTGAAATGAAACTGCCTTTCTTTTTGTTCTATGAATCATTCAGTAATTGTTTTTGTAGTTTATATCATAAAGTAGTAATTGAGTCAAAATGGTGTCGAGTACAATATGTTTCGTGTGAAATTGATTGAGATAGTTACTCTGTTGAGGGCATGATTCATAGTATAATGTTATGTGCATTCTTGCAGATTGAAATGTTTTTGATGCTTTGGGTACATAAATATCTTGTGAATAATGAGTGGAAACTTCAATCTATTTCTTTTCTTCAAATAGTTTCCTATTTAGAGCAAAATTAGCCCTCATCTTTGTTTTTGGCTGATATAGTTAGGTGTTGTTCCCTTATTTTCAGTCATAGTAAATGTATAGCATGGTTATGTATTAATGGCTTTGCATGGTAGGAAGGACCGAAGAAGAAAAAGTTTGTTTTTATCTTTTTTCGTAGAGTTGGAGATTGAATTGAGAGGAAAAAAAGTGAAGATATTTCTTATTTACTTATCATTCTACCTTCTGTAAGATGAAATAAAAAAGAAAAATATCAAAGTATGAATGATTTGGAATTTTTATTATGTGATCTGGTTGTTGGTAGCAATGGGGGCAATTCTAGAATCTAGACTCTGTTATATGTTGTACATGTTTCTTGGCTCAATGTTGGCTGCAAGTGAAATGGATGGTTCCTTTCTCCTATTAGGCTATTGCTATATGTTAACTTTTGTTTTCTTTCTGTCTTAGATCTTGCTTCTATATCTGTTTTCTAGGTTAAGACTGAAAGTTGTGCTTTCATGGTGCTTTGCGCGCTGAACTGTGATTTGAAAATGCTGCTTCAATCCTCTTTATTCTTGTATATATTTTTTAAGTTTTTGCTTGATCCGCTTGTTAAACATTAACTGTGATTGCCACAGGTAAGTTGTTCTTGTTTGCACTTGGGAGGTCACGGTTCTTGTATGTAGCTGTCACTTATATCATATGAGAAATAAACTGCTTCATGTCGTTGGATATCATATGGGGAAACCTGCTTACCTACAAAAAGATTGAGGAGCATTTCTACACAAGGGCCTTGTCACCACAAATGGTGCACTTTGGTCCAATCAGAGAAAAACTATTGCCCCCATCTTTTGTGCACAAGGTCAAGGACCATGTCAGAGTGGTGAAAACTTCTAAGAGGTTTAGGCTATTTTTTAAAAGATATATATCCCCTTAGCTGGTGATAAGAAGTTTCTTCAGATACTTATTTTTTGGACGAAATTCTAAGTAACTTCTGCATGCAGTACATGTTATAGCTAATGGTGGAGTCTGGTGGGGAACTGATGAAATCATGGGGGAAACATTATTGAAGCTAATGGGGGGATTGCAGACATCAGAGTTGATGACTATGTGAGAAGCTTTACCTCATGTATCATTTCAAATGTGGTGTTCAGGGATGAATGGATGGCACAAGGGCATGGAAATATTTCCAAAGTCTCTGGCTGTTATTAATGCCATGAGTACACCAACAATACTGCGTGGAATCCCTTTCTTCAGGTATGATCTTTGTACTATATTTCTGTTTCATCCTGGCGTGTATTTGCTGCTTCGATTGCAATTTGAGGTAACAAATCTTTCCATGCTCAAACTGGTTCTTTTTTTTTTTTAGATATCTTCCCACTAAAAAGAATAGAGAGATTTGGAGGATTGAGAAAGAGATTCATTCAACTTCTAAAGACTTGTTGCAAATGGTCATCAAAGGTTCCATAAATGGTGATCTTGGGCCATCCGCAGCTGATCAGTTCATAGCTAACAACTGCAAGGGTATCTGCATCCTTGCCTCTGAAGTTACTGCTGTTGCCACAATATGGGGTCTAATCTTATTGGCTTCACCTCCTGGATGGCAAAATCATATAGGTACTGAAGGTTTAGAAGTGTGCAAGGATGGCATCCTGAATTTCGACATGTTTCACAAGATGAAAGTGGCATGTAATAGCATGATTAGAGGGTCTGTCAATTACCATGAGATGTTCTGACTTCTAACAAAAAATTCCATTCACTTGGTGCAGTTAAGATTGCTATTACATCACCCTGTAACGTAATTAAGATGGTTCTAGAGCTGTTGCAACTTTATCTTGTAACAGCATTTGTTTCAAGGCAAAGCCTTGCAAAATCTGAAGCTCAGTCATGTTGAAATTCCGAAAGGGTTTAATATTTGGTTGTGTTTGCTAGAATTGCACTTTGATCTTTGGGGACCTGATGCAGAAAACTTCGATCCTGAGAGGTTTGCTCATGGCATTTCTAGAGCAAGCAAATCTTCTCAAGCCTTCATACCATATGGTGTAGGGGCTTCCCTATGTCCTTGCCAGAGCCTTGCCATGACAGATCTTCAGGTGTTGTTTGCCACCAACCTGTCTAACTTCGGTCTCACCATATCTCCCAGCTACCGTCATTCGCCTCAATATGCTTTGCTGAATTTGGAGTAAATCTCCTTGTTCAAAAGACATGAGTGCTGTCCCTGTCAAAGATGTTGACAAATAACTACAGCGCTAGAAGTAAACGATGATTTTGCAAAGAATAAATGATTGTTACGGTTGCTTAAAGTGGGCTGCATTTTATCAGTCATTTCGGCTTTAAACCACAAGTGAAGCAATGCTTGATCATGATTGAAAAGCAGACTATAGTGCAGCACTCTCTTATATTTTAGATTGTCAATTGGAATTTGTGGTCTAGATTTGTTTACAACTTAAAACTACTTATGCTACAGTCAAAACAATCTGCTATTAGACTCTTGCATTTCAGTTTGTTAATGCCTTAATGGGTTGTTAAAGTTGCATTATCTCTATTCTACTTGGCCTAGTCTCTAGTTTTTATTTTATTTTTTTTATAGGAGGTTTGGTATCTAATCAAATTCTCATAGAAAAAAAAAAGTTTCAAAACCGGTGATCCCAAAGTAGCCAGTCCACTAATAATCAGAGCCCCGGCAGAGTAAACCAAATAAATGAAGGATCAAAGCACAACATGATGACCAAGTCTACCACTTCGTTTCACCTTGTGATAAGAAGTTTGTTAAATGTGCTCCCATGATCCTTTTTTGCGCCCTAAAAACTGCAACAGCAAAAGAAATCCATGTGATCATTGATCAAGAAACACAATTATCTTCTCATCACGTTCTCCTTCTACAATCATCAGAAGATTAAAAATTTTTTCTCCAAAAGAGTTTTTTTTTTGGTAGTTGAAAAAGTAGCATGATGTCCTTTCCTTCTCTTAACTCAATATTCCGACAAGTCATTGCTCAATGGCCTCGATTTCTCTATGCGCTAACATGGACAGTTCTGTTGACGTTAATGGTAAGCATATTGTCATTTGCTCCGGAGATGGCCTTTGTATCAGCAGTATCTCCATCATCATTGTTCTCGCGATCCTGCAAGGCTGAAGGGCTAGTCAGGATCCCTTTAGACTTCCCAAGGGAGAAAGCGTGCTTGCCTGCTCACATGGTGAAGAGGTCCAAGGTGGATTTCTTTGTGCCTACCGTCTTCGCAGGTCTTATTGTTGCTGCTTCTGCTTGTGTGGTTCGATCTCTGGGCTTGTGGGAGAGCGAGACAGGTTAATATATATTTGCTAATTCTCTGCATCCTGAACAAACGTCTAAATTCATGTACTTGATAAATATCAGTTGATGTTTCTGTGCTCCTGGGTCATATTTTGTTTCATTTGCTGCATCTTTCTCATGTTGCTTAAACTTTTTTCAAGAACATCTTGATTAACTTACTAGAACTGGTTTGAATTGGAAGACTATGTACCCATTTCATGGGATTAGAGTCACAAACTCAACAAAACTTATATGAAGTTTTTTGAGTAAAATTTGTGAAATTCATTTCTAAAAGTGATTGAATAAAAATTTTAATAAAAAAATCAAACCGATAATTAATGTATAGATCAATAATATTTATAAAAATTTATTAAAAATATTGTTTATAATTCAAATTTAATCAATACTTATTCAACAATTAAAATTTTAGTAATATTTTTTTTAAAATTATTTAAAATATTTATAAATTTTTTTTTCAAATTTTACATATTTAATCTATGTAATAAGAATTTTTTAATCTATTAATTTAAATTTTAAATTTTATTTAATCATTTTTAGTAGAAAATTTCACTTAAGAAATTTCCTCTAAATCTTTCTCTATAACATTATGCCTAATATTTGCAATGGATTTGGAGGAGAAATTTGATGCCTGAAACATTCCAATCTGTTTTTTCAGTGTCTTGCTCTTGCATCATCCGTCAAAACATTGTTTTTATCCATCAATTTTTTTTTAGAGAATTTATTGCTGCAGTTTGGACTTCCTGCTCTATAATAAGAGATAAATAAAAGAAATTAAAATAATTTATTAATATGGGCATTTGACAGCATATGAAGTAGTACCTTGTTTTCTTAACTAATTACTAATTGACATTAAGATTTTATGAATTCTGATGGCAGTTCGTTCAAAGATTGACAGAAAAAAAAAAAAGAAAAAGAAAAAACAATATCGTTCCAAGCAGAAAACCACATCGTCAAGCTTAGGAAGGACAATATCAAAATCTTTTTTTTTTTAATTTTATTTTTCGTTATGGTTAGGAGTGTAGATGATACATTAGTATTGGTAAGTTACTCGGATTTGATTTGAAGAAAACTCGAATTCGGTTCGATTATTATCGAGTCGAGCTCGAGTTCGAGCTCGAGTTCGAGTAGTTTGACTTATCGATCGAGTCGAATTCGAATATTTTTATATCCGACTCGAGTAGCTCGTGAATCTAATCGAATTTTTATATTTAAATATATTTTTATTATTTTAATTAATAAAATATTTTGAGTCTAAGTTTAAGTTCGAGCATGAATAATCGAACTCTTGTCGAATATACGAATCGAGCTTATTTTCATATATTAATCGAACTTAATCAAGCGAACTCGAGTAGCTCGAATTTAATCACGAATCGAGCTCGAGCTTGAAAAATAAAATTCGATCGAGTTCGAATCGAGTATCGAGCTCCGAATTGTGAGTCGAGCTCGAACTTCTCACAATTCGACTCGATTCAACTCGATTACAACCCTAATTATGATACATCAAACACATTTGCTATTTTGTAATTATTCAACCCTTTAGCATAAGGGATGGATTTTCCTGCAAGACTAAAAGCAAAAAAAAATCTCAAATTTTGCTTTTCCTAATCGGGGCATTCTCCAGCCCATGACCAAGCCAAAAGAAAAAAAGATTTAACTTTTAATTAAATTTAATAATTCATGTTATTATATTATGTAAAATATTTTATTTATATCATATTTTATATAAAAATTATATATTAATTTATTTTGATATAAAAATATAAAATATAATTTTATTAAATATATTTATAATTTTTTAAAAATTTTAAATTATATTATTTTTATATTTTTTATTTATATTATTCGTAATGTTTCAGGTTAAACATACATACTTTTAATAATGTTTGGTTAACAAGTGAGAATATTGACCTTTTGCCTTTGTTATGTGAAAAGACATTTTGCTACTTGCAAAAAGATATTTCAGACCAAGGAAAGAGCAGAAAAGCAATTTAAAAAAAATTGGCGCCGCTCGGTTCGAACTGGAGACCTTAAAAACAACTACAGAAGACAAATATAAATAACTCTACCGCGTGAAGTTTACGCGTTTGTTTATGTCATACACTGGAGGCTTTGTCGCCTTTTTAAACTTTTTTGGCCCTTTAGACTTTACACAAATCTCTTCTCTGTTCCTCTCTTCGGCTAAGCCCTATCTCTCTCCTCCTTCGATCTTTCTTTGTTTTTTTTTTTTCTCTGTGTTTTAGCCAAAGAAGATTAAAGAAAATGTCAAGTGCGTTAGAGATGTCGCTAGACGACCTCATCAAGCGGAACCGTAAGTCCGGATCCGGAAATTCCCGCGGTCGGGGACGTGGATCTGGGCCGGGACCCACCCGCCGCTTTCCTAATCGCGGAGCAAACCGCTCGGCGCCGTATACCGCTGCTAAGGTAAATAGCTAGGGTTTAGATCTGATTATACCTTTTTCCGTTTTCATTATTAGATTTACATTTTGCGTTTTGATTCGATTTTTTTTTCAATTAAGTGCTTTTTTTTGTTCAGGCGCCGGCGACGACGTGGCAGCATGATATGTTTTCCGATCAGGGAGCGGCGTTCCAAGGACAAGCAGGTCGGGCCTCTGCAATTGAAACCGGAACGAAGCTCTACATCTCTAATTTAGATTATGGTGTTTCCAACGACGACATCAAGGTATTTTTTTTATAAAAATTTTCTGATATTTTCTTATTAATTTGTAATATAAGATTTTCTAGTCTGTTTCGATTTGTTATTATTTTGACGGTAATATTGATTTGAATTTCTTGTTCTTCATAAACTTATATGCGTGATTCCTCAGGCTTTGCTCTTCAGCAAATTGTTTAAATATTTATTATACTTGAGATAGTTAGGTGAAGAAAAGTCTGGCGATGCTTAGCTATTTTTTTCTGAAATTTTCCATTAAGATCAATGTTGTGTTGTTTTTAAGGTTTATTTTTCTAATGTTCATGTGTTTGTGTACAGGAGTTATTTTCTGAGGTTGGTGACCTGAAGCGACTTGCGATCCATTATGATAGGAGCGGGAGATCGAAGGTATCTAATCACGTTTGGCATAAACTGGTCCTTCTGATGAAATTCTTTGTATCCTGCTGTAGTTTAGAGCAAAAAACTCTTTTTCTTAGGGAACAGCAGAAGTTGTCTTCTCCCGGCGAACAGATGCTATGGCCGCGGTAAAGAGATACAACAACGTTCAGCTTGATGGGAAGCCAATGAAAATCGAGATGGTGGGAACAAACGTTGCTACTCTTGCTGCACCTTCAGCTGCTAATGGCACCTTTGGATATTCAAATGGAGGCCCTAGAGGGTATGCTTTATTATGTGTTTGCATGACCTTTTTTATTCAAAAGTTTAGATTCTATTATTTGTTAGGCTGATGCTTTTGTGATATTACAGAGTGCTTAAAAGTTTTGCCTATATTTTTCAGTAAGGTTGTATTGCTGAAATTTTCTAAAGCTGCATTAAATCTCCATAAGATGCTAATCTTAAGATTAATTCTTGGCAGAAATTTCTCCATAATTATCAATAATTTTGAATTTTAGATTTTGGTTAACAATGGTATGATAGCTGTAGAAAATTATCAAATTGTGTGGCTTTGAGGGTCATTTCAAAAATTCATTAACTATTCACTATGATTTATATTCCAGCAAGCATCTTGCCTGAACTATGTAATCTGAGATATTAGCACAGTCAAGTAAATTCCACCATTTATTTACTTTTGATGTGTGTTAAAGAGTAATTATTACTTCTGTCGTGCCTATGCAGTATTATATATATTTTTAAATGATGTAGACATATATCATATCACATTAGCACTTATACTAGGTGTTTTTGTTGTGTAATTTATATTTCTACTTAATGGAGCATGCAACAATTCATATTTTTAAATGCTTGAAAGCTTTTCCTGTATAACAAATTGGTTTCACACTAACATTTATGTTGATGAGTCTCTGTGGAATATGTGTTCCACTTCATTCTTTTCTCTTATTAATCAACAGTTTTTGGTTATTGATAGAGTTGACTGACTAATCTAATCTTGTTATGGTTATTTTGCAGTGGCCAAGGCAGGGGTGGAGGATTTGGTAGGCAACGTGGTGGTGCTGGAGGCCGTGGCTTTGGACGAGGCCGTGGACGGGGAAAGGGCCGTGGAGAAAAGGTTTCTGCTGAAGATCTTGATGCTGATCTAGAGAAGTATCATTCTGAATCAATGTAGACAAATTGAAGCATTTCTCATGTTCTATTGGTTTAAGTATTTTCTGCTGTGGACATTATGTGCTTGATCCCTGACAATTTTCTGTATCTCTACCAAAATCATACTATTTAGAGGAACTAGTCATGGAGAAAACTATTAGTGTCTTGATCTATGGAGTTTGGGCTTTTACTGTTGAATGTTCCTTTGACTTGGGCATAAAGAATGTGGGTTAGTGGAAAGCTATCATTTTGTAATCTGCAATTGTGCTTTTGGTTCCATTGAAACGGACTCATACCACAAGTCGGGAACATAAGCGAAAAGTTTTTCTCTTGGTTTTCCATATGCAAAGGAAGCTTTGGGTGCATGCTGTGGGAGGAGTAATCTTGCCGTTGCCCAGAGCTGCATTGCCTTTTGGTTGCTCCTGCATTGTGAAACCAGGGAGACTGCAATCAAGGTAGATTTCTTTATGTTCTTTCTCTTGTGGATTCTTTTTTAGCGGTACAGAATTTTGTCCTTCATGTTATTGGTGATGCAATTGGTTTTCCTATTTAGGCTTTTAGGGTGTTTAAGTTACTTCATTCTATTATATTATTGCCAAGGGAATATTCTTTCCCCAATTGTCTGTGATGGCTTGTGATGTGGCTTACTGTAGTCAACTATTGTAGAATCTCTCTGCTTCAGTTCATCCAGTTGATTTCTTGTGGAGAAAAACTGTTGAAGGCTTAGTACAATTGGCATATAGGAGCTTGTTTCAAGTTGAAATAGTTACAGTAATCTGCCAAAGTACAGTAAGATTCTGAAGTTGGCATTTTCTTCAGATTCCATAGAAAGTGACTGAAGTCTCACTTTCTCAGCATATGCCTGCTTTTCTATTTTGGGGTCTGCTGGAATTAGCAGTGTTTCTCTTAAGCTCTATGCTTGCTAAGGCATTGGTTCAGTGCAATATGCTGCCTAACCCCCAATAGTGGTTTTGAAGAAAAACTTTGGCTATCGGATGTGGTTTGAAATTTTGATTGAGGAAGTCAAAAAGTTTTAATGGTGTTAAAACCATTAGCGAGAGCTAGGGCATGAATATAATCTGTCGATCTAAGATTGAAAATGGTGGAAACTTACATGATGTTTTATGTCATTCTGTGAGCTGCTATTCTATTGCTTGGATCAGATGGCTTTAATTCAACATGAAGCATCATTACTTTCTACGATTCAAGTTTAGGAAAGTGAATATTAGGGTAAGAGGACAACAATATGCAATGATGTTTATTTGCTGTAGTATCGGTTCTTCTCATGGTTGCCATCTCCATATGAGTAATAGCTTTGGAAGTTAGCCCCAGTCATTGGACCGTGGAGTTGGTGAGTGCCGGTTTCCTATTTACTGATTCTTGTAGTTCTTGACTTATCGATCCGTGTTGCTCTTAATCAACTTCCCCTTTTTAAGATTATTGAATGTTAGTCATTTTAGTTTAGATGGGTCCGGCATTGTCTTTATTACCAATTTAAAAAGCATCTCATACATGGGGTAATAACTCAAGCAATGTTTTGTTTATTCTTGGGGTTAAATTTTAGTGTATGGATTTGGACGTTTTATGCGAGGGTGCACGAGTGGTTTGTGATGTTTGACTTGCCCAGTGGCAATTTACGGATTTGGGATTCTCTGGTGGTTAGTGATGAGTCTTTCAATCTAGCTGCTCCTGGTCAGATGATCAATTGTGTTAATTTTGATCCATACGGTGGCATGATAAACTGATTCTTTATGCTGTATCATTTCTTTTAAAATTTTCAAGTATATTATCGATTCAGTTCAATTTGTTTTCCTTTGGTAGCATATTTTGATAACATTCTGCATCTTCAATTTAATCTCTACTATATGTGGAAGCATTATATTTTTTATTTTCATTAATCAGAGCATGTATTCAAGTGAAATTAGTTGGAAAAATGTTTAAACCTGTCTGTAATTTAATTCTCGCTCGATAATTGGTTCACCCATAAACGAATCTTTTTCTTCTTTTTGTGTTTTAGATATATTTTAAAATTAAATCTAATATCTATTAATAAAAGAATTTTGGGCAAGGCCAGATTAGGTCTAGTTAACGGTAAGCCGAAATAAATAGATACTCTAGCCCATGGATAGGCCTAGACTCAGCAAAGTATTGTTACGTTAGAGTTAAGCTTGGGGTACATATGTAAGAGCTAAGCTAGGCCTCCTCCATCTATTTTTTGGATGTTTAGGCTGGGGCCTGTACTTGCTATATGAGAACTTAGTGGGGGCCTGCCAGGGTTTTTGCATATCTTAAAAAATCATAATTAGGAGTATGAAATGCTTAACATTACTATTTAACTCTTAAAAAAGAGTTTTGAATCAATTTTAAAAATATACTAATAAAATAGAAATATTAATTCATTATTGGGTTTGGTTTTAAAATTCCAAGCCCATGCCAAACAGGCTTTTGAGCATGGGCCAGTAACCCGGTAATTGAATATTAATGCCTAAATTCTTGCAAGTTAATCCTAACCAAACAGAATTATCCTATACTTCTAGTTTCTGACAAGGAAATAATCAAAACCTTTTTCTATTAGAAATGCTGTTCTTTGTCTGGGCAACACCCAGAAAAAAAAAAAAAAGAAACCTCAATTTTAATCATTATTTTTTAAATATTATATTAAATTAAAAATTTTGAAATTCAAACTTTACAAATAATTTTTAAAAAATTTTTAGTTTTATGATTTTATTAAAAAATAATTATCAAAGTTAAATTCCTTTTGACTCAAAAATTCAGTAAGGAACAAATACAGTGAGACAGAAAAAGTATATACTTACTAAATTCATGTAATCATACAACTTCAAGTTGTTGAGTGCATAACTTATTGCACCACTGTTTGAAATTGGCGGATGTTTAAGCCCTTTTTGGCTCTCTAAGCTTCCCCCAACTAGAAAAGATCAACCTCAACAAGAAATAAAACACAGCCTTTATGCAAGACACTATAAAGTTCCCACATGAAGAAGACCAATACCAGGGATATAATAGTCTAAAGAGCAAACTTATAAGACGTCGAGGGTAACGTCCAACCTGCAAAATAATAATAATGATAAAAACCCTAAAAAAAAAAAAAAATCTTGCATTCAACTGACACATCATAGACTCGCTAAGTAGGCAGATGACTAAAAAAATTCTTATGATAGAAGTACCATAACCATGCAATCCATTCTAATCTACATGGTTCGTACGATTAAATTATGAACAATGCATCATAGCAAAATAAATGCATCTGATTGTTACTTGTATATATGGGAGAATTTAGAACTTGAAGGTTTGCCCCTGAACGTGTATCAGGTAGCATACTAGTTAGGGTAACCAAGTAAATAACATCTAATATGCATATTGTAGAAAGTGAATGCAACATGAAAAGTTATCATCATTCATTTATGTTCTTCAACTGCAGAGAATGAACCTTGCAGAATCGTGAGGTTGCTTCCTCATGATATGAAGGTCATTCGATCAGGTCATGGAAAACCTGATACCCTTCCCGCTGACAAACTCTATTTCAGAACATGAAAAGAGATACTTGATTTGTTTTGTTTCGGAAAGAGTACTCACTGGAAAGAGCAGTTTAAAAGGGGGTACTCACAGGAAAAAGCAAATCTAAGGTGTCCCAAGCTGCATGACGGACAGCCCTTGTAGGATACATTGGACCACCGGGAGAAGTAAAGCTATACAAACAGGTCTTCAACCGTGTACTTGTGGCCATTCTCAGTTCCATGCCTTCAGGAATTAAACATTAAGGTCATATACCAGCAGTTGAATAGCCACTAATCCTAGAAGTGATAGTAATACCTTGGAGAACCTTAATCTGCAGAAGATAATGCAGTAGGACTGGCTCCACCTTTAATTTTTGAAGCTGGCCGATGAAATTTTCCCAAATGTGAATATACCAATTGTTGCAAAGGCCTCTCATTAAGGTGGTAATAATAAATAAGATCATTTATACTATCTAATCATGGAAATATAAATTTACCTGATCTGCTAGTTCAATAACAAGTATATCTGCAGGTCCACCAATCAGGAAAGCATTTGAAAAAGTGGGACACTGCTTTAAGAAGCTTTCAAGTTTTTCAACTGCATAGGACAACACATCGTAAAAGGACTATCCATATATGCAAATTGTTTTTCAAAATCAAGGTTCTGAAGGAAAAAAAATCCAACCTGAGTTGTAAAAGAATATGAATCTTGAAAGTAAAAGGTAAAGATCTCGTTGGGCCTGAAAATTATATATTGCAGAACCAGTATTTAAAATATAAATGCCACTAAGGAATCTTGATCACAAATAGGTAACTATAAAAAGACCATTATCTTCTTTTAGGTATACGGTGAGGGCAGGATTACACTTGGTAGTTAATATGTCAGCATGCAAAACTCGACATAAAGCAAAAATATCTGACCTGCACTGAAATTTTATTTAACTGAGTCGGCTCCAATGCAACTTCATCAAGGAGGTACTGAGTCCATTGAAGAAGAGAAGTGTTGATAAATAGATTCTCCAACAAAAAATAATAGAATCATACATGCATTTGGGACAGCAATATGTTTGTTTTTAAGTTTTACCTGAAAGAGAGACTGGAAACGCCTTGTATTTGATTGGATATCAATCCTACATGCAAGCACAAAATTAACTTAAGTTAAAAGACATTATCAGGCCAAGAGTTATGCCACTTTTTTCAACAAGCAAGGCCAGATAATGGCAATACGGTCATCCAACTTCAAAAGCCATTGCCTATTGGCAATAGACAACCTAACAAAATTCCCACTCAAGCATTGCCAATTTGTATTCATACCAGAAAACATTTGTTGCACCCTGAGCAAGCGCTGAGGAATAACGTAGTAGTACATCTGCATTATCCAGTTGAACTTCAAATAACTGCAGAAAAAATACAAAGCATCTATTGTTCAATGTAAAGGACTTTGTAGAAAAAGAATCAAAAAGATCATTCACTGATTAAAACAACATTTGTTCAGTCTCTAATGCAAAGATATCTTAATTAGAATATCTAGTAGAAGCAATCATTATTTACTAGTAAGCACCATTGGATAAGAAAATACACTAAGATGCCATAACTAAGTCTTTTGTGGTCATTATGATCCAGAGAATCCATCATTTCAGCACTTAGAGACGGTAGCCAGGAACTAATTTATAAGATGTGGGGAATAATAGAGTGTTTGGCATGGCTACTGAATATTCTTCGCAGATTGTGAGGAAAATAGCAGCAGTCATTCAGAACCAATTATATGGTCTCAGGAATTCTCTATGGATCCTTTACACTTTGATCATTGTCAGAGATGGGAACTACGCTCCAGGATGTTTTCTTAGTTCGCTTGGCTTTTACTTGTTTACTATAATTTGCAGTTTGTACTCCCTTGTTTAGTTGATTATCTGTTTCCTGTGTAATCTGCTTGTAATGCTCTGTAGCAGGCTCTTTCCTGCTTTTTTGGATAATGAAATTTAGCTTATCCAAAAAAAAAACTACGTACGAGTTAATGTAGATTTTTCAAGGCAAAAAAAAGTGTTTATCAACTTGTCACATCTGTTTTTGCTTTGTTTCTTTGTCCAGTTTGGAACACTCCAAATTAATACCTGGCAAAGCCACTAACCATCTACACAGTTGATAGCACTAAAAATAAACAGCATCAACAGCCAAATAAATGATATTCACATTAAACTACCATCATAAAAACAGAGTAGTCGTCAAGAAATTTGAGTTCCATTCAATGAGCAATCAGGTTGGAAATCAGGAAAGATAAGCTAAACTCCACATCTTTGTACCTTAATTAGAAATGATTCACATGAAAATGGGATCAAACTTGAACAAAATGGTTTTATCTAGAGAAAAACTCACCAGAATGAAACAGCAAAAGAACAATGAACTAATTGTGAACCTGCTTACCCATTTATGGAATAAAAGGGCGAAAACGTGACTTGCAAATGACTGGCTCCACAGTTGCACAATCAAATCAAGTCTGGGCTTTCCACTCTCGGGCACTCGAACATAATAATCAGCAAGAACATCATAAAAGCATAATTGACCATTAATACCGTACTTTGCAGGAGATATAACATCTTCTTCCCTACTTAGAATTATATCTATTTCCAATTTCAATATGAAAACAATATGAGAAATTCTCAAAATCTTACATAAATAACAATTAAATTACAACTGTGAGTAAACTACAGTATTTGATTCTCATGATCAATTAAAAAGGCAGGAGAACTTGAACATTAAGCATTATAAGCTTAATTTGGTGTAATTTTTAGAAATGGAAAAGCCAAAGTTAAAATAAAAAAAGAGTTGACCAAGCCTTGGCTAACCTTTGGCTCGATCATCGACTTCCAAAGCTATATCGGCGAATAATTCTTGTAATAAGTTGCGTCTCTGACATGCAGACGTTAATGCCTGTAACAAATTTGAATATAGATCGATCAAAAAGCTGGTAATAGCCAAAAAAAAAAAAAAAGCAAAAAAACTACTCAACGCTCAATCATGACCTAAAAATGTTAAGCTTGAAGTCAACATATTCTTTTCTTTAGAAAAAGGAAATGATTTGAAAATGAAAAAAAAAAAATCTAAAACTAAAATCGTTCCGTTTTTCCTTTCATTATCTCGAGAAACAAACAGGAAAAAAAAAAGATAAAGAGAAAGAGATACGAGAAAACGAACCCGCTGAAGCTTTTTCTCGATTTCTAGAGAGAGAGCGTTGAGATAAGCGGAGCTTCGAGGTGTTGAAGAAGCTTCTTGTTGCGGCATTTTTAGGTTAAGATAGCAGAAAAGGAAAATCTATCATTTGAATTTGATATAAACGAAGAGAAATGAAACAAACTCAAAATACTTATTCCTTTCTGGTCTATTATCTCCGGACAAGTGCTCCTTCTTTAATGAATGGCAGTAGCCATTTCGAGCTTTCAACGACACTGTCAAAGAACAGCAGCGGTAATTAATTAAACAATAATGGAAAGAAGCGAAGGGTGATGTGGCGTGTAAGAGAAGCAACACCGTGGACAGCGTGTGGTAGGGGAGCTTTATTGAGGAAACGGAGGGTTTTGAATTTTGATGATGGAGTGGTGTGGTGGATTTTGATAATTTCATTTTTCCACGTTTACAGTTTTCTTTTTCTTTCAGAGGGTCAGACTTACTGGACAAGCGAAAGCGGGAAAATTACATACAACATTGGGAAATCCATTGCTATTAATTATAAGGACACGTGTAATCTGATCCTTAGTTTTGACTTTTGATTTAACGTATGATTTTTGCAAAAAGATAATGATCCTATATTAAATGTGTGAGAGAATCAAATTTTAATTGTTGTCAATTTTAAAAATTTCTTTTGATTTTATTTATGCATCATCCTCTCATGTTTGTAATAGTCTTTCTTGATCCTTTAAGAAAATAAAAAAAAACTAAAGTTGAGTTTTGTTTTTTTTTTGCCGTGTTGTATAAAATATAAATAATTTATATATTTATATAATATTTTATTCAAAAATTATTTATTACAATTTATATTTATATAAAATATAAAATATAATTTTTTAAATTGATTAAATATATATATTTTTATTTATATCATCATATCATTTTTTAAATTATTATTTTTTAATTTTTAATTATCTTAATCAATTCTACTGAATTAAAACTTATGTTTTGGATTTAATGTCATCCGAATTAAAGCATTTAAATAGAAGATTTGAAGTCATTTTTAATGTTCATTCCATTAGGGTTGAACAAATGATTGATTCGATTAATTTGATTGTAAAAATCAAATAATTGATTTAATTTATTATAAAACTAAACCAATCAATATATATAAGAAAAATAAAAAAAATCAAATCAAATTAAGATTATCAATTTCAATTGATTTTCTTATATTAATAAATTATAATTTTTATTTCTTGCATTAAGTGTATATATGTAATACATATTTTTTAATTATTTATTTTATATTAAATTGAATATTTCGATTTATTCTATTTAAATATTTTAAAATAAAAATTAATTATTTTAATTATTTAAAACAAAATAATAACTGAAATTCTCGTATAATTCAAATTATCCAATTTGATTTCCTTTAAAAATAAAAAAATTTCGATTTTTTCAATTTTAACCAAAATTTACTCAATCCTACATTCAAATCATTATTAAATGTTGAAATTTTAGCAAAATAGAAAAAGGGATAATAATATTCGATGCCAAAAGAGAAAGATATAATAATAATAATAATAACTTTCTTATTGATAAAGCCATGGATTTCAGTTCAAGAATTACGTGCCCTTGATGCTTAAAAACATCAATACAAAACTCTATCCGCCAATGATAGCACCGTAGTAATAAGTCTACTCTATGCCCAGTACCAATGGCTTCTAATTTAATAATCGTAAAAGGTTTAATGTTTTTTTAATGGTTCAATATTTCAAAGATTCAAAGGTTTATCTCACAAAGCTAAACCTAGATACCTCAACTTATCAAACAAAAATTTAAAACTAAAAACAGAAATTTAAATCGATAAATAATTAATTTAATTTATTAAAATTCGTCTTTTTTTACGAAAAAAATTTAACATCTTTTAATGATAACAACTTGCCTTAATTTATTAATTTTATTTAAAGAAAAAAGAGATTCCTTAAACTACGATTCCCAAAAAATCAATTCACGGGCCCATTAACCAGACAGACTCGATCCATTGTAAATAAGCCCATCTAACACTCAATCTCAAATCGAAGCACCCAGTGCTTCTCTAGACGGAACCGATCTCCGCCGAGACCATCTGATCGATCATCCAACGGCCACGATAACACCAGATAAATCATTTCCTCAAAAACAGTTCTCCTTGTTCACGGGCACAGCCACCAAAACAAAGAGAGAGCCAGAGAGTAAAGACTCAGAAGAAGACAAGAAAGATGACGAGGTGGTTCGATCCATGGCCTGTTTTCTTCAAGAGAGAGTTCAACCGCACCTGGCCCTTGCTTGTTGGCTTCGCTGTAACTGGGACCATCATCACCAAGTTCTCCCTTGGTCTCTCCGGTAACATCTTTTCCTTTCGATGCCTAATGAACGTGCTTTTATACGCCTGTATGTAAGTATAAATTTACTGATCGGCTTTTTTGTTAATCGTTTTTGCAGAGGAAGATGCCAAGAACTGGCCCTTCGTTCAGAAGCACAAGCCGTAAATAAACCCTAAATTTCATTTCCTATTTTTCATTTTGTACAATTGGGTTGACCCAAGGATTAAAGGCTTGTTTGGTTCCTTTAAAGAGATTTTAGAGAACTTGCAATTTTTTATTTTAGACTGATATGAGAATCGTGTTTAAAGGGATATGATATTGTTACTTGCAATTTTCGATTTTTGTCTTTCACAGTTTAACATGAACTTTAGGAGGAGTTGACTTGAATTGAATGGCGGGATATGTGGCAATCCTGAATTAAGCACATTGGCATGGCACTTAAGTCTGTTTGAATGTGGATAAGAGAAGAGAATAGAAACGATAAGAGAAAATAAAGCAAAGTAAAATGCTTTGAAATTTGATTCGGGAGGACTGAGGACAGTGGTGATCGGTAGATCAGTAGAACAATGATATAAAGTTACAATCATAAGAAATTTGATTATTTTTTAACAATGGACTGAAGGGTATGCTTTGAAGATTAAGAATTCTAGATGGAGTTATAGTCATTTAGCATCTTTAGATTTAAAAAGTAGGGGCTAGGAGAAATTAGTAAAATTAGTACTTATTTCTCCTCTCCTCGTCAGTTCTCTTCTCCTTGCGTTTAATCACTTAGGTGGCCTACTACCTCTGAATTGGTTGTTGAAGTCGACCTTCAAACAGACTTGGAAAATATTAAGTGTTCTCTCAAAGCTAAAAGCAGAGACGTTGGGATTTTCCGGTCCCCACCTTCACCAGTCACCATTTATCTTTTGGTTTAAATTTTATCATTTCTCCAGCTGGCGCTGGAGGTATAGGGCAGATCATTGAAAAAAATTCTTAATTAGGGGCTCTTGGTTTCTGGTAAAAGTTTCACACATGCTGTTTACTGTGTACTCCTTCGACAGCCTTTTTTTTTTTTTTGTAAAAAAAATCCAATGGTAGATAAATTGATTAGTTTTTTAAATAAAATGTATTTTATTTAATAATTTAATATAAATGATTGCAAATCATATATTTAAAATGATTTTAATAAAATTTAAATTCAAGATTTATTTATCAAAAAAAAAAAATAAACGATCATTAATAAAATTTAAATTCAAGACTTATTTATAAAAAAAAAATTTTAATTAATTGAGTCAATCACTTGTTAATCTTTTAGATCACCTTCTCTGGCGTGGTTAGTGATCTATATTTTCAAATGCAAGTTTGGCAATGGGAATTACATTCCTCCCTTCCACCCCCTTCCTGTTCATATGAGAAGAGGCCAAACATGGCATGACACATAACCATAGCAAAGAGTTTGTCAAAAAAGTAGAACACTAGAGATACTCTTGATGACATTTTATTAAATTGTTGTAGCAAACAAAATTCACGGCGACAAGACAATCTATGTTTACTTTTAAGGACTGCCAAAATTAAAATAGTTTCACAAATTTCTTACATTCTGTGGTTATGGTTTATTTTCTATGATATAATAAAGAACGAGATGACGATTATTTTCACCACAGGCAGTGAATCTGCCATCCAAAATTTCACCCTACATATAATTCATTAATAATCATTTTTTTTCACTTCTTTTTGGAGACTCCTAGCCTCAATCGGAAATCCTCCTCCATTAGTGGAAGACCATCCCGCAATTTGACTTTCGGTTCCCAACCTAATTCGCCTTTGCGATGTCAAGTTTTCTCTGTCGTGGATCATCTGGAGTGTTTTCCACCATTTTTATCTCCACCTCAGGATTAATAAGCTGCAAAGATGCCCCACGAGACCAGGTCAGGCTAAAAGCTTTTAAAACATACAAAGGCAAAAAAGCAGTAACTTTGAATCCTCTTTTTAAAGAGGCTGATATATTTAAGTTCACGAAGATCAAAGTAAATTGAGCTAAATGGAGTGAGTTTGTGGTTGATTTGGATTTCTTTGTTCGGATTAATGCTCTTCTTGTGACTTTGGTTAATTGCATTCGCATCTTGGATTCATGATGCCAACGCCTATATAGGATGGGTCCGATGGAAGAACAATAGCAAAAATGTTGAACTCACCTCCTTGACTCTCTCAGCAAGCTCAAGCATGGTAAATTCACCTAAAAGAGTACAAAAAGCCATTTAACTGATTAAGTGCATAATAACGGCCATAAGCCTAAGAACTAATCATAAAGCCTAGCAAATATCTCCTACACATTCACATAAAAAGTTTGCGGGTTAACCTGGGTTCCCAATATTGATTGGACCAGTGTTCTCGCGCTCCATGAGACGAATAAGGCCATCGACCTAAACTTTTTTACAACTGTTAAAATTTAATTTATTTCAATAAAGGGATATCAGAAGGACTTAAAGCTAGTAAAAAATTTAAATCAGTAGCATACCATGTCAGAGACATAACAGAAACTGCGAGTTTGTGTCCCAGGCTTTTGAACTGTCAGTGGTTCACCACTACAAAGTGTAAAAGACGCGTGAAATGAGAAACCACACTAGCAACAAGAGGGAAACGAGTTTTTCTAATGACTAAAAGGTAACAGAAATTAGGAAACAAATGTCTTGTTGTTCTACCATTAAATCCGTAATTGACAAGTGAATGGTGGTCTTGTTGACAACAAATCTAAGAATAAAAAGGAGCAGATAGTTGTAGATATCTCAATTTATTTGAGGTCTACTTGTGATTTTTATTAATAAATAAAATGAAAAAGATAGATAGTTGAGTTTGTGTGAAATTATTAAAATTGGTTTATAAAATTGAAGTTAGGTTTAAAGTTGAAATTCAAAAAAAATTGAAATTCCTTTATGGATTGGTGTTTTCAGATTCAAAATCCTATAAATATATATCCATACAGATTATACCAAAACACACAAAAATATTAATGAGAGAGGCAAAAATCAGAGAAAGCAATCAAGAAAATTTTTTAAAAATTTTATGAGGTTTAAAAAAAAAATTTTTTGGAAAAAATATGAAAAATTTCTAAATTTCGACGAATTTTTTTAGTTTTTGTCTCAAGCCGAGCCAAGTGAAGCCACTTTCTAAGTCATTCTAGCTTT